CAGGAGCCAGCCAGGTTGCTTAATATTCAGCTCTTTCCCGCACTGTTACTGAGTCATGGTGGTCTAATAATGTGCATTCAAGCACCTGCAAGATTTTCCCAGTCTCGTAGCAGGTGTTGTGTTGCTTTTGATTGGTGGTCGTTATCCTCCAGGGAAAACATATAGAACAAAAAAGAATCTAACAGTTTTCCCCCATAAACTCGCTTTTACCATTACCATTTCTCTCCCCTCTCCTGTTAAAACAAATGAGCTCACTGTTTTTACAATGATTAGCCCTTGAGGAACACATTCAGTTCAGCAGTACATGTACAAGGCCCAAATGGTTTGAATATTTACCTAAAGATAACAACAAAATACACCACGCAGATCGGAGGAATGAGCTCCTGCTAAATCGGACGTCACGCGGAGACAAAAGGAATTAGAGGCAGCCAGCATGGATTCTGTCAATAGCAAGCAGACGGCTCAAATTACATGAACCCCCAAGGCAATTGGCCCAACCTAAATGCAGACAAGGTTTCATCTAATTTCCTGCAGACAGAAAATCAAAAAAGTACATATTACTTTGTGGCAGCGCAGCAACTAGAATAAATCTCCTGTGACATACACAACAAAAACTATAGCAAAATACAGTTTAGGCCATGAAAGCACCACAACATATCTGCCACCAAGCTAACTAAACATAGGACATGAAAGTTGAAATCTGAAAGCAATGTAAAGAAACAGAATTGTCATGAGAGCCACAAAACAGCACTTTCTCACTGAAGTGAGGGTCTCCTGCACTCCTCAGTCAGACGTGAGAGACAACCATTGTACAGGTCGCATACCTGTGACATGGCTACACATGATACCAGAGCGACAGTAGCCCACAATGCTTTGAAGAGGACACAGAGCTTAAAAGAGAAAGAACGCGCCCCCCCCAAAAAAACGCTTCCAGTAAGAGCTCTTCAGGCCATCCCCATTAGGAAGAGGTAGCTGAAAATCACACCGACCACATAATCCACCACCTGTCTTCAAAAAACATATGCGGGAAGCCAAGTTTAATTCATCGAGAACGCAGGTACACATGGAAAGCACAGAGAGCACTCTGAGCGGGAGATAAACAGCCTACGACTGATTAAAACTGCAAAGCCGGCAGTCTGCCTAAGTAGCTTGGTGTCCTCGACGGTGGGTGATTATCCTGCGCTTGGCTTGGGGGTATATTAGACTGTCAGAAAGCAGTTTGAGAACAGCCAGCTGGTCTAGCCACAGCATCCTTGGAGAAGCAGCATTTCTATCACTGTGTAGCAGATGAGCTCTGCAAAGAGCAGAGCAAAACCCCTCCTGGGGCAACACATAGAAAGTACTAAAAGTGCTAAGAATGTGGCTGCCTAGCTTTGCTAGTCTGATCGTAACGACTGCTAGTCTCTGATCATCAGTAGTCATACTTTTGGATGGTGTTAACACAGTACAGCCCCCCAGGATTCTCACACGGAAGCTAGTTTTACACACGCCAGCAGGGGATACTATTAGATTTTGTATATTTTTAAAACAGTAAAAAGTTAATCTCAGGTTCATTATGAGCAAACTAAATACTGCCAAGAGAAGAGAGGAGCTGCAGGAGCCAACAGGGTTTAAGAGAAGAGTCTATTTTCCAGGGTAGAATGACTAACACACTTGAGGGGTCCATGGAGAGGGGGAAGAGGTCTTTGTGTCATGGCGGAGTCACGGACCTGGTAACAATAAAAGTCCCCCTGTCATTGGTTAGAACTGTTTAACCTTTTGATCCTCGTCCTTCTTAATGTGCTTTTTGAATATTGAAAGTTCTAGTAGACTACATGAAAAAAATAAATAAATAGCAAGGAAACTCTTAACTGCAGCTTACTAGAGGATGTGTTTACTTACTTAGTATAAAATATAGTTTACATTCCTGACATTGAATGGTCTAGATAAAAAAAATATTTAAAATCAGAAAGAGGCTTTAGAAAGAGAGACAAAAGTAAGCAAATGGATCCATGGTACAAATATGTAAACACTTGTCCACAACAGGGTGAAAAAAAAATTAACAAAAGCAATGCAGTGTAGCCTTTTTAATTTCATATTTTAACTGTAAGCATGTAAAATATCCCAATCTAATTATGGATAGTTTCCATTTTTTTCACAAAAATTAGGTATCAATAATAAACTCAAAGACTTATAGGCCACAATTTGGAACCTGTTTCCAGTGATTAGCCTAGGCCTACATCAAAAAGGAGATCAGCCTACTTGTCATTAACTAATCAGTGTTACAAGGAAGTTAAAATTCCCGACAAGAAGACTAGGGACTACAAATTGTGTAAGAGCAGTCCTCACCTAGCTTACTTCTGAAGTGCTGTTGAGCAATACCTCTCTGTTCCAGTAAGAGTTCGGCTACACCTCCAAACTCGGAGCTCTTGTCGGCTATCAACGAAGAATGTTTTATTCTTAAGCTTTCCGTCCAATAAAATAAGTCTTACATGTATAATACATGAGGCTGTTCATTTGTCAAGGAGTCTGTTCACTGCCGATTCAGCGTATCTGACTTGAGCTGGTTCTCACATTACTTGAAATAAACAAACAACCATCGATGTTATCATTTGAAGCGATATCGCAATCAATGCCACTGCCAGTTGGAGGCAATTTTCCGAACCTGGTGCCCTGAAACGCCTTCCCCCCCCGCGCACATCCGTGTCAGAACAGCGGGCTTGTCGCCAACACAGCGCCAAATGTTTACAGCAAATTGGTCGATGGCTACTACGGACTGAAAGGGTTGTATCGGTCGGTGAGCTTGTAAAGTTATTGCCACCATGGCACTTGGCAAACACATCAGTGCGCAGGGGAGCCTGGTGGTAGAGCTGCAGTCAACGACGCAGAGTGGAAAAACTTCCAGAAAGCACCGTGCCGCGGGACCCGGACTGACCGGACACCTTCCAGTCGCAGGCTCAAACCAACCAAACACTATCACGCACTTCCATTTTCTGCCCCGCTAATACATCACTGTTTCGGGAGTCGCGTGAATTAGGCACAAAATACACGCCCGTGTTGAACCGTGTCTGCGGTGTCGACGCGGTCAACCATTGTAGCAGCAGCCACATACAATGAATAAGTTTGGACCAAAACAGCGACCGTTAAGTTACAAAGTTCCGCGTTGTATTTGTGTCTAATTAAAAAGGCGGTATATGTAAAATATAAATATTTACGGTAATATTCCATCGAGGGACTCTATAAAGCGCAAACTTCACCTTAAATTATGAGCAGCTCCGGGAAAAATCCATTCAGCAACAACTTGCTCGCTCCCGACGTACCGCAGTTGCTCAACTTGTAGAGAGTCAGACACCCAGCTGTGACAGCCGCGGTCAAGCTGGACACAAGCACAGCTCCAACTTCCGGTCTCAACCTTCAAAATAAACGGACTGAAAGCACTCGCAATGGGCACATTTCTGAATAACAAAGTAATAACTTCTTATAATGCACTCTTCCAAACAAAATGACTAGTATTAAAGACGTTCTAACTAAACTAAGATACACATTTTAATGTTTTGTAATGTTCTTTTCAAAGTGCTTCACAAGGATCAAGTGACACAAGCTTTTATTTTGGGATAGCAAGTTCCGGTAGCAGTCCCTGTGATGTGAGAAGAAAACGGCTGTAAACAAACTAATGAATAAATAGATTAATGGATGTGTTTTTACTTAAAAGTGCATCACGACTTTTCTGTATCTTGTACTGGCCAAGTCATTCTTTATCATGGTGTTTTTTCCTTCTCAAATAGCCACAGTGGTGTAGTCCAGTGTACTTTCCATGGACTTGCAGTTCCCAGGCAAGTTAAAACAGGTGAGGAAATCAATTTTCACTCAATAATTCTGCTCTTTAAGGGTAAAACTATAGGCACAGAAAACTTTACTTCTTCCCATGGAACCACACAATATCCATTTACAAATGTCCATATTCATGTGTGAGGAAAAAACTGTAGTTCTCCTGAAGATGTCATGAAACACTTCACTGGGATATATTTATTTACTGTATTTTTTTTTTAGTACCTTGCTTTACCAATCACTATGCTTTTCCTCATTGGGTCCAGATCAGTCAGATGAATGTAAACTGTTTCTTTAAATTCCAGTTATGTACTGATGAGTTTACATTTGAACTGACTTGAAACAATGCTCCCTTCAAGACAGTATATTTTATGTACTATCACATGCTGTACATGGCTGATCCCTGGTCATGTTTCTGTGCCTGTGAGTTGCTGGATATCCCTGTCCAATGAGTACTTCAGCACATGCTGGTATAGTCAAAACGGCTTTTAACAGGTGCCTCATTGTACTTGTCCTCATGCAACTTAGTGTGCTGTAGTTCTTTAAGGAAAAACTTCTATTTTAACTGGCACTTTTCATGTCCAGTTTGTGAGTGTTGTTCTGATCATTTTTAAGCCTGTGTACAGAACAGGACTATCATGCTGATTCAGCACCCTGCACTCTACACCCAAGGAAACCCAACACTCTCGGCAACTGAGACCAATCCCAAGAATGCCAAACACTCAGCAATACATATTCTTACAATTTTGTGGGTTCTCAGCATGGCAGTGTGATATAAACAGTTCCAGGTTTCAACATGAAGCTCATCACTCTCTCAGGGCTGCTGGCTATCTTGAAAGAAGAGAAGGTGACTTGTTTTGAGTGCCACACTCTTGACTCTTTTAATAATCCTAATTCCACCACTGTTCGTGGCTGTGGCAAACTTTCTGAGCTGAATTAATTTCCATCTGTCTGAAGTGGCTTATAGGCCACCATTAGATGCACAGGAGTGTAATTTCAATGAATGACATGGATTATTAACTTCAGCAAGATTATGTGGCTGTGGATAACCCATCAACACTAAATAAAACGCTGAACCAAAGGCCACCGCATCATTCCTGGCAGAAAGGGACAGAAAAAAGTAATCAACCCAAATGTAAAACTCTGTCATCATGAGCCAATGATGACTTTCATGGAAAAGTTACACCATATCAGTGTGGTGAGTGTTACTTTTTTATTAAAACATAGAAATGTAAACAGATACAGCACATATACAGAATAAACATCTGAGTAAGTTTAAGTGTTCAAACATTTGACAAACACTATTGACAATTTACCATCAAAGATACCAGATAGTTTTTTAGAGCAGTTCCCCCTTGCTCATATGAATGGGGGTCAACATGATGAACTTCAACAGGGAGCAGAAGCTCATTTCAACTTGTCACCCTTTTCACATCCTTGTCTTTAGGAACAGTGCCACCTGCTGTTACAGAGGTAGAGGGGAGGGACCTAACACATGCGCACACATACTCGCACGAGGAGTGACCCTCAGTACAACTCACTGCAATGCAGCATAAAAAAACACCTGCACATTGCTCTTTGCAGCAGCAATGCCATTCGTCTTTAGGACTAGAAGAGCCAAGTTTATGTCACTGCTCTCTGGACAAATCAGTCCCCAAATATGAAGCCAATTACCCATCGCTTTAGACAGGACAAATCTCATGATGGCTGAACTGTGTGAACATGAACATTCAACAGATGACAGAGATGATGTGGACAGGGACCCCACACTGTACATCAAAATAAAGACATTAGATTTAAAGATGAGATCTGCATTGTTAAAATCAAATCAAACAAAATTAAATCAACAAACTGTTGGTAACATGTGGTGGAAACACTGAGCGTGGTGTTAAATGCTGAAAGGGATTAGTTTGAGTTTTCTGAAGTGGGGTTGTATGAGGTATTTTATCTACATTCAGTGTATTACTTGCAGTAGCCGTCATCCACATATAAAAAAAAGTCCGAAACAATTCCTTTAATCCAGTTTGTTTGGTTAAACCCTTCTCCTTACTGCCAGTGCAGGTTCCCTACAGCTTCATCACGTTAGTAAACAACACCGTGTTATCACACTTTATCTGCATTTTCACGCCACATCAGCAAGTTAAAACAACTCCAGCTAAACATGGGTAAAGTTACACATTGCAGCTTTAAAGGAAAACTGGAATACCTGCAGCATTGATGTGGTGAAGTCCTCAAACTCTGTCACCAGAACCGCAGCTGAGAGGCTTGAAATGATAATTGCAGCAGCTGATTTTGTGAGCCACATAATCCAGTATTCTTTCAGCTAGAAGTATTCATAGTGTGTAAGAAGGTGCAAAAATAACATGGCTCACCGACTGCATAAAAATGTCTTCTCATGTAAAATAACTTGTGCACCTCTAATGTAAGTGCTTTATTGCCACCATATTATGTTGACCCCTTGTCAATGAGTGGTGCTTCCGTGCTACATCATCAAATCTCCACTCCCTTAATCTACAGTTCCTGAAAGAAAGAAAATAAGACAAAATATAACATGTCACTGCTGTTAAAATAAAAGTTTCTCTGTTAGTCTGAATGCCTCGAGGATGCAGCGTGGTGCATCTCTATCCATCAGTGCTTTGAGGTGAGAGTTAGGGTGGAGGAGACACGGAAGATCTGAGGCAGCATGTTGCTCAACTGGTAGAACATCTCATCTGAGATACTCTGTCAATACAAAAGAGACACACACAGACACAGCCAGGATTAGTGAGCAACAAGGGATTGAGATTTGTGCAGCACCAATGTAAAAAAACAAAGCAACACTTGTACACACATTTTCAGTCCACACTGTGACAAAGGAAGGGAACAAATTAAACCTTTGTTTAAACCCAGCTGAAATTGTGCCCACCAAAACAAAAATACATCTGGACTGTTTGTGTACAGCCAAGTGTTAACAGCCCCTAAGGTGCCCTTTAGTTCAACATCCCAGGGTCGTTTTCTTTCCCTGAGGGAACAGTAGTCAAGATGCTCAAGTGATGTGAGCTCCGGCAGCTGTGACTTTAACGGGGGAACATACCGTGGGCTTCGAAACATCGCCACACGTCAAATAAGAATGTTAAGTATTAATCTTTAAGCAGCACAGTGAAACACGCATCCTTAAACCGCACACAAACACAGAGCGTATATTTAGGTACTGCATCTCTTTGAGGCCTGGAACACCTTGTTGTTTGAGAAGTGCTATTTAAAATGGTGTCTGAGCACGCAGCTGACAGGAAGCCGATACAGTCGGAGTCCTTTGATGCTGGCAGTTTTATCATCTTAACTTGTCAACATGAGATCCTGCTATAGGCCCTGCTGCCTTCCTGACAAACCTCAAAAGCTACAGGTATACCACATCCATCTACGCCCAAAATAAAATAATAGTTATTCTTCATCCAGCGCTGAGGTCCCAATTACTGCCTCACGACTGAATCTGAATGATTTTCCTCTTTTAGTCGTAAAGCAACACCTCTAAATTGGGTGACTTATTTACATTCCTTATGAAAGACATTCGGTTAGACTTGGATATCCAAGTGAGTTCAAGATTATGGCTCAGTGCTGGAAAGCTACATGAAAATCCTATTGCTTATCACACTATTACATGAATGAGCCTGAGCTTTCTCTTATCACAGCAGTGCAAACATGAGCAAAAGGACCTAACTCTCTATAATTCATGGCATGCGTTTCAAACAGTCGCTCTTCTCTGGCTGTATTTCAGAGGTGTGCACTGCAAGGCTAGGTGTGTATTTTGTGAGGCCTTAAGTATACATTTCTGTTGAATTAACAGAGACTGTGTGGCACCTTAGCTATGAGTTGTGAAATCAAAAATATAGGTTGTACATTCTGCTCTCACCTTTGGCACTAGAAACTGGACTGTGCGTGATATACCTCCATCCCATGAGGCCATCTCCATCATGAAGCCTACAAATAAAACAGATTCAAAGTAACTCACATTTAACACTCAAAAAAATATATTTTTTAAATATCTATCTGTAAAGTTCAGTATATTCCAGGCATTATTTTGTAATGTAGCTTTGCTATTACATTGTATCCAGCTTCCCTCAACGTGCAGAACTGTTTTACCAATCAGGAGGAAGTAAGTGTTGTGCCTCAGCTTTGCATTATGAAAAATGTACACTACTGTCAGGAGACGCACTGGTATGTCAAATTCTTCAAAGACAGATTTCAGCAGGAAAAATAATCCATCTCAACAAGACCTCATGTGTCCAATACATTTAAATAGCAATAACAATTGAAAAGCTGTAAACTTGGGGTTTGCTATCAAACATCAATTGGAAATACTGGCTCTCATCAAGTCATGATGATTATATTAGGTTATCTATGAAAATATAAATACACCAATAAACAGCTAAATGGACACAAAACAAGGTGCAATGCAAATAGCCAATTTATTACTTAACTTAAAATGATTTCCAACTTTCCTCTTACCTTTGACACATTTGAATACCAGCTCAGCTCTCTTAAGACACCACGGTATGGTCATCTCCTGCAGAGAGGTGAGAAGAAAAACGAGAACACTGATTTGCTTTGTTTATTGTTAAATGTGCAGCGAAACTGTGTAACATGATAATATTCATTTATTGGCGCAAAGACCCCCCCCCCCCCATGGGTCTTTCATGCACTAACAATAGGATAGTACACTCAAGAGATTTTCATAGTGACTGCGGCTGGTACCAGAGCCAATTGAGGCAAGGAGAGGAATTTCTTACAACCAGAAAAATAAACATATTTGTGAAATGGTGTAAAAGTCATTGTCTGCAAACTAGCTCTCTAAATTGGTTGAAAGAGTTTTCAGTTTCCTCTCTGCAAACTTTTAAACATGTACAAAAGTGTTCCTTGTTCCTGTTACTTAACGCTCAAGGGAAAAAAGAAAACATTAGAATAAGAAGCAAAGCCCTGTTGTATTTCATCTAGACAAACTACGTCAGTTTATGTCAGTCATCGGCTTGTACAAACAGGCAGCCATCTCCACTAAATGGCAAGACTGAAAAGAAGATGCCAGATGAAAGGTTTGATGTGAAACCAGAAGCTATCAATTAAAATTCCTCTGGTTCCAGAGGCTTCAAAAATTCAAAGTCTTTGGTTTTGTAAACAAAGACTCTTGATTAGACATGAGAAGAAAAATTGCACTGGACATGTTGAGGCATGGGTGCTCTCCAGACAAAGGTTTGTTGAGAATTGAGAGTATAATGTTTTAATTTGTACTCAGTTGAAGAACTAAGAAGAAGCTTTTGTAGTTAAAAGAAAATCCTGATTCCAAAAAGTTTCAGCAGAACAAACAAAATATCCCAATTTCCAGAAGAAAAATCCACCTTATTGTGATCATAACTCTGCTTGATTCGATCTCAGCTCATCAGTCACTGAAAGCTTTCTCTGTTACTCTTACCCTACTGTGTGAGTACATAGTTCTGCAATACATACACCCTGAGAGGAACTAAGTAAACAGAAGCGCTCATGACTCTCTACTTTACCCTCCTGGTTTTAAACCTAGACAATGAATTCACAGCCAGTGCCTGACAAACTAAACCACAGCTGAGGAAACAAGCAGAGACAGAATGAAAGGGAAGAAATTGTGACTGTGCCCTCAGTTAGGGCTACAGAAACCTGTGTGGCCAGCAGGTTCTCTTCACCTTCTGCCACAATCACAAACTATTTAGGCGCAACACAGATGCAATGCCTGGGTTGGTGTCAGTTTCAACCATTTATCCATTACCTTTAGGTAACTATTTCAACTACTCTAAAATAGTGATGCCAATTAATCAGGGCGATCAGGGCATTTTGAGATAATCAGTATCTGAAATACAAAAAATGTCTGCAGACACATCTGCATGCATTAGTTAACCATAATGTTAACATTCTTAAATGACAGCAAATGTAATCTAATACCATTACTGGCTAACGTTAAATATATAATATTATACTGCAGAGAATAATGCAGTTGAATGACATCACAAGATGTACCCCGCTCTCCTTAAACACCAGTCACATTCTGAAATCCACAGTATAACCCAATGTATATTTCTATTTCATTAGTTAATAAAAAATCCATCTAAAACATGTTACTGGCTAAAATAACTACATATAGTATATTTCACTCTGTATAGGATGATGGAATTATACATTGTGGTGTATAATTTATGTGCATTTGACTCATAAACCTTTATGATCAAGAACAGTGTCAAGCGGATTTCTTCTCAACACATCATCGCAGCATTATTGTTCGGACACCACAACATGACTTTTCTTTGTTTTGATATCGTCATTATATATCAGCTTTTTCATTATTTTATTCAACTTTTACTGAATTATTTCAATCATATCCATGATTGTAACTGCAGCTCATCCATTACTTGTAGCTAAATGTTTTTTCATGCACTCTGAATCACAATGCGGAGTGTAACAGTTACAGTTGGCTGACTTTGTGGATATATTTCTTAACTCAAGTCAATTATTATATTTCTTAACCCAAATACAAATTAGTTGAGCTAATCCTAAATCTTTCCACATATCCTGGAAACTGCAGAAGACCTCCCTGAGGTACAAGTACCAATTTAAGGTAAGATTCCACTGAAACTCACAGGACCACTAAATCCTCCCTTGTGTTTACTGGGAGTAATGCTTACACTGTAACCCTTTCCTAATCTGTTCAAGTCAAGTGTTTGGTACCCAAACAATTCCACTCTCCAACTCAAACATTTACTTTTTCATACATTGTATTTTATTCTTGACCAACTGTGGGAGCAGACTCACTGCATGTTTGTTGGTCCTACAAAGTTAAACAATGTTTGAACAAATGCAGCGATAAGAGGATAACTGAATTCTCAATTTGGGTTTAAATACTCCCTTGAGGTATCACATTACTATAATCCTCAGTAAGTGTGTGAATGTGTGTGGAGTGTGATGGAGAAAGAACGTGCATATTACAACATCATCCATACGTACAAGCATTCACAGTGCTCTACTCTTACCTCTGACATGTCATGGACCAGCAGCAGAGGGACGGTGACGGTGGTGACGTCGTGGGTGCAGCAAACCTTCAGGATGTTTCTCAAGCCCATGATGGCGGGGTCCCGGGCGGTGATGTTCCCTGAGCGCACGTTGTCATCCACACACAGGTGGAAGACAACGTGGACCTCTGACAGGTTGGAGTGCCGCGAGATGTAAAACTCACCTTGTGGAAGAGACACAGCAGGCACGGTACTTATAAGTGTGTGATACTGAGAGAAAAAGGCATGCAGAACTAGTGTGCTGCTGAATAATGTGCGATTGATCAGTGGTTTTATGCTCTGTTAATCTGACCAGAAGTCAGTGTAAAAAATAAAAAAATTTACCTGGTAAGATACTAGATGGATTTCTTTCAACATTTTTGCTCTTATCGTCACCTCCATTCCTTGGAATCTCTGTAAGGATATAAAATCACAAATCAGTTTGCACAATCTCAAATATCAAATCTAAACATCTCATAAGGACACCTAATGGCAATGGAAGCGGGACTTTCTAAATGCAGCTCTACTCTTCGAACCCCTCAGCCTATGTGGTGATAAGTATCTGGACACAATTTCCTGTCAACACAGTAGCAGTGATGTATTGTAAGTAAGTGTTTTCTACTTCCTGACTACTTATCCCACATCTTATACTGCTGGGCTGTCACTGACATTCTGAAACTCTGTGCAGTATAGTAGAAGTTTCTGTACAGCAACACTGTTACAGGCATGTATATAGTTGTACTCCCCATTCAGTGTCAAAATGAGAGATTGAGATACTTCTTTCTTGTCTTGCTAAACATCAAATCAGGTCAATTAGAGATCAACCTCAAAGCAGGTACTAAGTAAATCTTCAGTAGAATCTGCGTCCAGGGGTCTCATTTTTAATACTTTGCGTAGAATCCTCACTAAAAGCGTACGTGCGTGTGCCAAAAAATATACAGACTTAAAAAATTGTGCATACACACACCTGTACACAATGTTCCCTTTATAAATCACAATCATCTTGAAATGTGGCGTATGTGAGCAACCTCCATGTCCGACCCCTTAAATGCCTACAATTTCCTATAAATGGTCAGTGAAATGCCCCTCATTAATATTAATACGTACTGACTGCATGAAGAACAGGACGGCAAAATCTGACAAAAAAACTAAATTTAACTCAGTGTGACACTGACGTCCCTATTGGTGGAACTGAAGCATGTTGTTTGATGGGTAAAGAACACACTTTCATGCAATGCTTGTATGAGGAAAGGGGGCACCGGGCAACGGGATGACCCATGTACTAATTTGGATTCCCCCCGTTTGAAAAGAGAGTAAACCAAACGCATTCCGTTTGTGCTTACACATTTATTTAGGCTATACAATCAGTCCACTCACTTAACGAGACTGCTGTTAAAGGGAATATGACTAGTTGTAAATGATTTACTAAATAAAATAGTGTTAGCCTATATTTTCCATAATGTGTTTTTACAAGCAGCACATCACATCCACACACTGGCGCACAGCGTTTGGCTCGATAAGGCAACAAACGTGACAATACATGAAACTATGCTCTCGTATTTGCTCGACTGAAGCACTGAAAACGGCATCAAAATATAAATGTAGCCTAATTTATCCTCCTGTTCACCTTACTTATGAGAATAAATTGCACTGCATGCAAGTAGCCTATTAACTAATATGATTCCTGATTAAACTGTACAACATATTTGAGGCTTCTTTTGAAGAAAAAGATTTCTCCGTTTGTTTTTATTACCCTAAATCATGGTTCTTTTGTGTGCGCTGCACAAAAAATTGTTTTTTAAATGATGTTTTTTTCAGGGAAAAATTAATCAAACAGGTATTTGTTTATTCAGACAGGCTTTATGCCTATAATACTCAGAGGTAATATTGCAATTAATTTTACACAATAGTAATAATCACTGCCATGTGAGTCGAAATGAGATTCTCCAGTTTATGTGCGTACGCATGGTTCAGAGTTTGCGTGGAGGACCACACATTTTCCCGTCAAGTTTGTTTTTTTATAGATCACAACCTTTGCTTGGGAAGTGGCGTACGCACGTTTCCAGACCTGTTTTGAACGTACGCACCGTTTATAAATGAGACCCCAGGTCAGTAGCTCCGCTTTGACTTTTCTGGTGAAATGTACATTCAGGATGAAATTCTTGGAAGCTCTGTCTGCATTGTTCTGTCTACAATTCTACAAATATGTTGACACTGAGACCCCAGGAGCCGCCAAAAGTCTAACCAGGTTGTTCTTTCTGCTTGCTGCTCCGCTGGGCTCTGGCATAGAGCAACACCTGCTGCACCTCCTCCAGCTGCGCCTCCAGACAAGGAAAGTGGAAGTCTGTACACTCCTTCGCCACGGTGGCAAAGTCTGGGGGGTCAACACAATACAGGCCAGGGTTGAAATGACACATGAAAAGTTCAAGTTAATATCTAGTCAGAGCTTATCTCTGTAATTATGTCTCCATAGCGTACTCCCACTCATTTATAGAATATAATGCAAACTTAAACGTGAATGGAGTGCGTAGTCTTGAAAAATCATTTAAAGAGGCGTGAAAGAAAAGTGTTAGAGTGAGTCATGAGCAGGACAAAAAAAAGTTACAATTCATTGTTGCAAAATATAATGCACTGGCTAGAATTATTGTGAAAAATGTTAACACGTTGACCATCTAGCAGGAGACTGCCAAACGCAAATTTGCAGCTTTCTACAAAACAACACCACAGGTTGCCCAAGTGACAACATCGCTACGAGGATCACCAAAATATGTTCCCTAACCTCTCTTGATGCCACTGTAAGAGTTCACCCTGTTGTCAACCAACAACACCAGACCACAGAGTGAGGAGGAGTAGAGCGAAAGGGCCGTCTGTAGCCGCCTTAACTTTGCTCCGCCGCTGCCGTGCCGCCGGTGCTTACAGAAGTCCAGCACGTCTGCACGGACCAGACGCAGGTTGTGCATCGTCTTCAGCTGTGCTCCTAATCAAAACAATTTCATATATAACATGGACATGTCAGCGGACACAAAACTGTGTACAAATGTTTGAACAGCATGTTTGAAGTGAGGCACCTAAGTGTATGGTGAAACTCTCCTCCAGCTGAGGCTGCTCCTCAAACATCCTGGCCCCAGAGTCTGCAAGTTCGGACAGCTGGCTGGGCTGCACCTTGATCTCCTCACTGGAAGTCAAATATGCAAACAAATCAATCAGTAAAGATTTTCCATGAACAATAGTTCATCTGATGTATGTTTTGTAGGTTCAAGGAAGGAATGGACAGAACCTGAAGTGTCATACCAACAAAGAAAACAGAATGCAGACATACAATTAAAAAATATATATTTTCACTACCCAACACTGCTGAAGATATAAGGCAGTTTTTACCATTCAGTTGTAGTTTTTGTGGTTTCTTCTTAGATAGAAAAAACACTTCAATTCCAAAAAAAAAACAATATCAAAAGGACACAGAAATTCAACCTGAATTCTGTTTTCAGTTTTCCTTTATGCGCTAAAGCTTTAAAAAAAAAAAAGCATCTTTGTGTTCAAAATTCTGATGTATTACGTTCCACTCACACACAACAAGATAATGGTATTCATCATTAAGAAAAACTGGTGCTGTGTCAGCAGCACATTGAGCAGCTCTTACCACACAGGTCCTATCTGCTTTTTGATGGAATATCCAATACATGCAGGTAGAGGTCGACCGATTAATAGGCCGATTTTTGGCATTTTTTAACATAATCGGCATCGGCCAATATCCAAGTATATCAAGCCGATTATTAGGCAGGCGCATCTGTGGGCAGCCTAGTGTTGTCGTGGAACACGTGTTTGACGCGCGCTGCCGCTAGAGTCATTGTCCAGCCGAGTGAGCAGCAGACCTCATCCAGTGCCTAAGGAGCTAACGGTGAGGATTCAATTCTTATTACTCCTTTATATTTAATTAAAAACTTTTGATATGTTACTGCCAACTTCGAGAAAAAACCTGAATAAGACACATGACATTTGGCTAATTTGGATCGTAGTTGAAGTTGCATTATCACAGAAGAGTTGCTATCATGTCACAATAAGTAAGCAATAATTTTGCAATTACAGAGTGAATCTGAGACTTTTATTTGTTCTGTTTGTGTGTCTTATATTTGAGAGGGTTGTCACTCAATGCAGAGAAATAAGTAATAAAAAAGAGACCAACGCACTATAGGCTAGTGACAGACTGGCTTGGCTTTGCTTTGCTAACAGGTAGCTACAGACAGACCCGGTGTTAATACGGCACTGGAACCTTAACGACCGTTATCTACCGCACCGAATATCAACGCGGATTTCTGTGCTTCAGTTCGGTGCAAATAGAGGTTAAAAACCAAGCAAATATCGGCCAAAATAAATCAGCAGCATTAATCGGCCATCAGCCGACCCGGATTTCAAAAGATCGGTATCGGCATTGGCGTGAAAAAAAACATATCGGTCGACCTCTACATGCAGGGGAGTGTAAGACCTGAATTTAAACCACCACTCTGCTGGACCTCACTGCTGTTAATCACTATTAGATTTTTTCCCTCCACTTCTGAGCACAATATGCCAGTCATAACTGATACTGCAAAGCTGAGCATCAGTCAAACTAATCTGAGTTTTTGACCTCTTGTAATCACTTCAATTTTTATGTAAATGGAGCCTGTACTTCAAAAGGGCCAGCAGACATGTCTAGCTTTGGATCAGAACGGCTGCAGAAGTGCAGCTGTTGAGATCCTACTACTATAAGTCAGTTTGACCTCTAGTCGAGAATCAGTGGGACTTTCCTGGTAACAGAATTCACAGACGAAAAGTAGTTCATTTTATCACTTCAATCCTAGTTTTCTTTCTTTTATTCACCCTATTGTATCACTTTAAGTTTTAAGGTTTGATGTCGTCTTAAAAGTTCAATTACTCTGATTTAAACCAGACAAGCCAAAGCCACTGCACCAATGGCACATTATCAGTCAATAAAGACTGTGAAGTGCTGTTCTGTTGTTCTTCTGCACATTGCATTCCTCCGTGTCGACACTGCAGCTTTACTTTTTCTACCCAACAAGAGTAAGTGACTAAGCACTTGAATCCAGTGTTTATTATCTTGGCTCAACCGTTTCTGCTTTATCCTGGGAATTAGGGGAAAAAATACTGCATTGAAAGGTGCATGTGGGTGTAAAGTAAGTGGACAGATATCATAAAGGTGTACACAAAAAAGATCATACTACAGAATACACTAGGGGTGTGACAATTAAAACCTCTTCAGGGGAAACCTTTGTTACGAGACATTTTCACACACTGTCCCGCCACACATAAGTTTTCTCACGCAGTGAGAACTGATACATCAACACAGTTCACGAATCATCCCCACCCAGCTGATGTGGTGTACGGCGCGATAGTTAAGAAGTTAAGCCCCATCTCACACTTTCAGTCGCAGCCAGTTTGTGACCCAGTGGTAATAGTTTTTGCTATAGACATCTACAAACTGAGGCGCAACCTTGCTCTTTTTGGGACTTTGAGCTGCACTTCATTGAAAGTGCTGAAGTTAACGTGTGTGGATTTGTGTTGAGATTTCTGCCTGATCAGTAGTGTTTTCAGTTAGTGTTATTTTCCACCTCCTTGTCAATCCTAACTTGATGTCCCAAAAATTTCTGTGTCCGTCAGACAGTCTGATCGAAATTTTACCAACGGAGCAATAACGTAATGTACCGCAGAGTACAGGGCAGGTAGACTTAAAAATAATCATGAATTCTGATGAAATAATGATATTAGTCTTGTACTATTATGACTTTTTTGTCGACGTGTCAGAGAACACTGAGATTGAACATGAGCAGAAAACTTACTGAAACAGAGGAGCTTTTACAGCCCAGGAGTTTATAACTGAATTAAAATTAAATAATTTATCACTGAGGTGAAAAGGAGCCACAACCACATTTAAAGAGGTTACTTCACTAAACAAAACACACATAACAGGAGGGAAGACTAAATCACGCCTGCATCTGTGTTGACTCACTCAGCAGAGAAAGCAATACAGAATGCCAGAGAGCCTTAATTCATAATAGTCTGCTATATTTTGAAATGTCACCTGCCACCAGAATTTTGTGTTTGCCTTTACATAAAATTTTCATATAATACGGCATTGAAGATTTCTTAAAAATAGTGTTAAAATCTAGTCTTGTGGACCCAATATCGTGTCTCGTCTAATGAGCTAAGTGTCTCGTCACACCCTTAGTATACGCACAAATACAACATATTAACAGACCGTTTGTTTGAGACTCTCACACACACTCACACTCACTTAATTTTGCTGCTGTTGTTGGATTTCTGCAGGTCCTGGTGCAGTTTGATGACCCACTCCTGATACTCCTGCTTCTGAATACCGGTAACTTGCTTCAGCTCACTGGCCCACTTGTTCTCCAACACCTGCTCATAGACGACAAAGTCAAACACTGAGGAGCCTTAGTGTGACAACAACATATTTTGACTGGGCAGGCTGGAGCAAATCTGAACCTAAAAAGTGAATACTAACTCACTAACTGAATCCCCTGAAATGTCTTTTGTGTAATGATCACTTTGTGCTGGGCTCAAGGTACACCTGTTTTCAGCACTGTTAAAGAGTATCCCAACTTCTTTTTTACCTGCTGTGCATCGAAGTGTTGGGAGGCAACTGTATTTACATCCTGGTCACTCAGCGTATTCCCCAGCTCGTGCATCACTTTGTCCATTTCAGAAGCTTGCCTGCCAGACAGAAAAATATTAATTGATTTGAACAGACTGAATGGAAATACATCATCATCTATACAACTCATAAAGAAAAGACACATGTTATTTCAGTCACCTGTATTCATGCCAGGTGACTGAAATATCATCCCAACACTGTATAAATGACATGCTCGGCCTACTGAACCAAACTTCTAAAAGGTTTAAAAGCACCCTATGAATACTGAAGTTGAATAAAGCTTTAGCCATACAAGTTTTAACAGTATTTTAATTTACAAAGAAAGATGTGAAAAAATACAGTATGAGCAGGAAATCTAAGGATCCCGGTTCCAGGCAATCATCCCCAAATACCAACCTCTCCTGCAGCTTCTTAATCTCCATGTCCCTCTCACTGATGAGCTCGGAGATGCTGACAAAGTAGTTGTGCTCCAGGTTGAGAAGGGTATCTGAGGCAGGGGAGTGGATCAGCTCATGGTAAACATCGGCAAAGTCCTCATCCCAGCTGGGCTCTTCGGGCCGAGCATGCTCCAGCGTGGTCTGAAACGGTAATGGGAGAAAGAAAATAACAATCTCCAAATGGCAAAAGCAAGTGGTTACACAAAGGCAAAGAAACACAACCTAACCATGTTGTGAATTCCACACTGCAGGGTCGCTTCACTGTAAGATACAAAAACTGTCATTGTCAGTGATGATCTGCTGCCAGTGCTCTGAGTAAGAGATGCTGACTTTCAGTTGAAAGTGTAAAAACAAAAGTTTCTGTGGTCAGAAGAAGACAAAATGCAATGTCAACACATTGCAAATGCTTTGCTCAATAAACCAGTGCAGTTGATGCACCCCATCCATAATTAGAAAAGCAACAGAACAGTATTCAGAATGTGAAACTCCTCTATTTATACAGGCTCAGGAATCTTCAGGCCACAAACATGATAGACACTGGAAAGCTTCCATGGGTATTTCAGTGTGACTGCAGTAAAACGTAGCCAGTCCTTAATGTGGGCCAGAGGGGCAGCCTCTGTTTTTTATATATGCCGGGGCAGGTGACAGCAGAGGTAAGACTCCTGAACTTTGAAGTATAAAACCAAATGTTCTTATTGACCTTCTCTAAGCATGAAATAAGAGACATTCACATTCAAAGAAATGTGTCAGTGAGAGGACCGTAAATATTTTAATTAGAAAACCACAAAGTTCACTTCTATGTTTCACTAGACTGTTTGTTTTGTATTGATCCATGATAAAAAAGTGAAGACTCCATTCTCAATTATGAGCAACTGCCACCACATACAGTATTGGATCTCTGGGAAGACACACATCAAAGTGTAACCGAGTGCAATGGAGAGACATTAAAACGCAGCACTGAGGCTTATGTAATGAGATTTTTTTTCTCCCAGGAACTCATGAATAATCAATTTGCAGATTTTGCACTGCACTACTTCTGTTTGAATTACTTTAATGATCCATGACTGCCCCGAAGTTAGCAGGAGCATTTGAGGACACTCCCGAAACACTGCTCAGCTACTACAGAGAAACAGAGAAGTGGATAAACGATCAGGGTGTGTTGAGCAGCCAGTATCTGAGATTAGCTTTTTGGAACACCTGCCAAGACTAAAACATGCTGCACGCAATATTAATAGACATTTTTCACAGAAATATCTTCCCTTTCCTTCACTTTGAGTATAGACTCAAATATAATCATGACGTACAACAAAACTCTAGTTGCAAAATAAGCATTTTTAAACCACCCAACAAACATAAACTGTGGTGAAGCTGAAATGTTCATCCAGGTGGCAAACAGGAGTAGAAGTGTAGAGAAGTCTGAATACTGAATCTGTCATGATTATAAATACTGCAATGAGACGTTGTGCTATAAGCACCTAATAGCCATTAAACCCGCTGATGTTAGTTTTTCAGCACAATAACATACTGAAATGCATTATCACCTCCACATAAGACCTGGTCCATGCGTTGGTAAGCTGGTTTAGGTCTACATCGCCCGTTGTGAGTCTATGTAGGGCCAGCTCTGCCTCTCTGTCATAATCCAGAATGGTCTCCTTCTCGATGAAGGTGGAAAGGGAGGTTTTTAGCTCTGCAGGAAGAGATGTGTGCATGTAGCATCATTTAAAACATGTTTTAATTTCTGTGCAAGCCAAGATTGTACTCAGTGAGCTGGATCCATTTCATTTGTTACAGGTTTCAAACTAATAGCAGGCATGCTGACAATACCATCTTGTTCCCAGGAACATGAGCAGAGAGTAATTATTTGAATAGATTCATCTAAAATAAACAGACTCTGATGTCTCTTGTCCAACTGTGCAGTCACAGAGTGTTCAGGGGGGCCTGCCCAAGTCCTAAAATACCAATAATAGTGATAATAAACCTTATGAATGTTTTTGGGAATTGAGATCTAATACCTAAAGATAGATTATATTGTATTTAAGACTTTAAATATACAGAACTGAAATGTTTTAATCATAATACAGTTTTAGCAGTCACCAATAATCAATTTAGTGTCAGTTATGTTCAGTTCTAGTGTGTTTTGTAAGAGTATAGTGTGACAAATACTGTTACAGATTTGTTTTACTTGATAACTTGATTTCCTTTAAAAGACAAGTAGGGGACAGAGTTGAAGGGGCTATTGCCACCATCAGTGGCAGGCCACATACAGCTCCTGACACGTTTTACCATTCAGAGGGTTGTCTTTAGACTAGACACTATATAGCTAATGTTAGGGTTGGGGTGATGGTTGCAGTTAGGGTCTGCAAACCCCAGCTAAGAAAGTGGTTCACAGGTTGCCTTACACATGTAAAATGAAAAGAAACACCTTTCATTTGAAAGTCAACTCCACCTGTATGCAGAATAACACCACAAATACAAAAGTTCTGTAACTTTTCTTCTCTTTCACCAAGAGTGGCAATCTCACCATTTTCTATGTAGCAGGGTATTTTATGTAGCAGCATCAGGCGTCCATGAAGGTCACTGGTGTCCTCTTGAACAGGAAACTGCAGAGGCACTTTGAGGACACAGTTGTGTTTCCCTGCCTTGAACTCAAACACAAACTCCTTCTCAGCAGTACTGTTTGCTTTGCCTTTGTTTTTCTTCATGGCTGAGGCTGAAAAACAGAAGAAAACACGCCTGAAAGTCTAAGGGCCACAATTAAGTAACGTTAAATAACCGAATAATATGTGAAATAACCGATGTTAACCAACTGACAGCGAAAACAGCGTACAGTAACGTTACAGGCAACACAGTGAGACAAAGACTACTTTGTTAAGGACAAGTGTTTTGAAGTTGCTACAACATGTATGTTTAATTGCTGATTGAGATCACTGTTGAGGGTCAGAGTGTTTACCATGTTATTGTGAATGTAGGATTAACGTTAGCTCCACGTTAGCTGTCAGTGTAGCTAACGGGTATGGAGCTAAAAACAATAACTCTGCAGTGGACATGTCTAACGTTAGCTGGGCTTCGCTGTTTGCTTTATTTGGTGAACATATAGATCTTATAAGAGGCAGATTTACCTGAGTATGAATGAATACGGTGTTTCCTGTTGCAGAGAGAGGGCTCCCGTTTGCTCCAGTCAGCTGTCTGCTTCAGGGTAGCAGCGGGACAGTAAAAGCACTTTCGCGACACTGAGGTCCGCTACGTAAGGTCATGTTTTCGACTGTGTACCAGAACTGCTATAGTATGTGTGTGGAAGCTTAACACGTTGCAAATCTTATATTTTTAAATTTGGGTTACTGTCTTTCGCATATAAAGCAGATTTACAGAGCCACGAATCTACTGACCCCAAAGCTTAATTTACAAGAGCTTTTTTCCCCCATCAGATTGAATAAAGGTTTTTCCTCGGCCTCTACCTCCCTCTGCTGGTCAAAGATGATTGGTTGATGGGTGGTTTATAAATGAACTATTATAACGCATAACTTTAATTATCAGACCATTATATACCAGCTTGCTGGATCTATGTTTGCCAAACCAATTAAACTAAATCTTTCAGGAGTCAATTTACATAATCCATCAGGCCCCTTTTAAGGTTCCTATAGTGAGCAGAGGGTAGCAGTGAAGTGGCCAGGCTGATTTTCTAATGTTTATCTTCAAAACTTAATCTGCTTGCCATTTAATTAAAGAAAGTTAAACTTTCTAAAGTTTACACTTACTTATTTTACGGATTATATTTAACTTGATATTGTGTAGATTATATAATCTATTAACTCTACATGCAACAACTGAAAGAGACTGAGGTAAGTCTACACATGGGCTGTGTACTATATGCTTGACTATTTGACAGATCCTGACTACAGTCTAATGAAATGTGCAAAATTACCCAAATTTTTTTAATACACCTACAGTGGCTTCCAAGTACATCTCACAGTCTTCATCCGCAGATGGAGTTAGCTCAGTTGTCATGGAGGACAAAAAAATATGCTACAGTATAATTTGTATATTTACCCTGTCGATTCACCACGACATCCACCAATGTGTCCCTGTGGAAGACACTTAACCCCTAGTTGCTCCAGAGGCGTGTCGCCTCTGACATATATGGCAGTTGTAAGTTGCTTTGGATAAAAGCGTCAGCTAAATGATTATTATTATTATTATTATTATTATTATTATTATTATTATTATTATTATTACCATATAATAATAACAAAACCATGAAATTAAAGCCAGTCAAAGGTGTGTGCTAACTAAGTACATAGTCTAACGCATGATAAGGGTTTTTTAAGTGGCTTTTTATTTGATGTGCATGTGCGCGTATACGTGCACGCACGTATGACGACCGCGTGCGTGTTTTCTTCAAGTTTGAGAATGTAAGGGAACGTATATAAATAGCCCTCCTGCATACATCCAGTACCCTTTATTTTTACAACGACCGACCCCCAATAAACACAGAATCCTTGCAGTTTATTAACCTTTACCTACGATGATAAATCGATCGATGCATAAGAAAATACTTCACAAGTTTTCACACACACGCTCTTGTTGTGTCACACGCTTTTGAATCGATGTGACTATTTGCATACGCTCCCTCTGCCGATTGAACCGTCCCGTCATACCTCGCGTGGCCAACGGCTCTCTCCACCGAAGGCTCCCTCATTGAATCACCGTACTCAGCCTGTTCAGTGCGATTTAGGGAAATAATTTGGAGCAAACCAGGTCGGGGCCGCTCATTAAACACCTGTTATCCTCCACGGACTTCCCCGCCTTTCTGTTTATCTGTCTGCGGCGGTGAGGCGTGCGTTCCTGGGCTCGCTGGCTGGGTTTGGTAGGGGAGGCAGGGGGAAGTACGGAGCTGGTCCCGAGCGATGATGGAGCTGGAGTCGGCCAGTAATAGAGGCGAACTGGGAGCTGTAGGGGACTCGTTGCAGCCACAGACGCCCAGCAGGCACGAAAAGAGCTTGGGTCTGCTTACGACCAAGTTTGTGACTTTACTACAGGAGGCGAAGGACGGAGTGCTGGATCTGAAAGCGGTGAGCATGCAGCCCAGAGTCTTTGTTGTTAGCTAGCACATGTCATTTTGAGCCTGTCCGCTGTCGTTAGGTTACATGCACTTTCGCTAGCCTGCCTGTTAGCCTAGCCTAGCCGTGTGACAGGCTAATTTGAATGGGTGATACCGCTATCCTTATGGCTTTGTAGTTTTAATACACCTCGGTTAACTAATGTTCGGACCTTCGCTTAAATGCTGTGTCGTGTTATTTTGGCGTCTCTCAAAGAGGAGAAAAGTAAAGTTAACGTTACAAACTGAACTTTGAGAACACTGGTCAACTTCTCAGACTGTGCCCCCTGTAGATTCAAAGTTAAAAAAGTGGGTCATTCTTTGTCGTTCCCTTCTGAGCTAACGCTACTGCATCTTCACACATGAGCAACTTCTATCTGATTGATAATGTCTTTGTCACTTAACGACATGCATTCACTCAGTCGCCGCAAGAATATCATGTACTTTTAACGACATATGCATTCGCTTTTAAATTACATGTTCTTTAGCTAATGTTAGCTGTGGTCACCACTACAGTCTAGGCCTATCATCCTCTTAATGAACTGTTGTTTCATTAACACTCCCACAAAAATATCATCCTAACCTTAATTGATGAACAGCCTGATTATCTCCAAGTCATTTAAGTTACTAGAAGAACTAGTTGATGTTTACCTATAAGATAAAGGTGTTGAACACATTATTAAGTCAGCAACTCAAATACTGTAAGGGGTTTGAGCATGTTAAAGAAAAACATGTTAATGCACTTGTCAAATTGGAGTATAAATAGAAACATTTTAAGGAACCCAGGCATCCCTGTTTTTCACAACCAAAACCAGTGAACCAGATGGCAGCTTGGCCAGCCAAGCATTACTTTGTATAATAGTATAAGTGGCTTCATAGCCACTGACACTCATGTTGGCACTGTGCTTCGCTCTAGGCGGATAATAAAATACCTGACTGCCATGCTTCATTCTTTCTTTTGCTCATTCTCTTTCACACTCATCTGTCCATAAAAATACACTCAATGATGAAATCAATTCACTCTGTGCAATCCCTTGAATCACCCCCCTAAATAAAGTTATGTCCCCAAAAGAAAAAGAAACTTTTGCGTCTTGTCCTATCAGATGTCGTGATTAAACTGAAGGGGAGGTGATGGTGCAGTGGATAAGACACATGCCTTTTGCGTTTTGACCCGGGTTCAAAACTGTGACACATCTACCAATGTGTCCCTGAGCAAGCCACTTAATTCCTAGCGGACCTCTGACATATGTAGCAATTTTCGGTCACTTTGTATAAAAGCGTGAACAAATGTAATGTAAACACCAAGAGGTTCGGCTGGGAAGCAAGTGTAAATGACACTGCCGTACACTATGATGTGTGGTAAAACCTCATAATTTTTGTTTGCAGGGCATTGGCACAGATACAGCGGCCTCTCTCTGCCTGTGTTTATGATCCTACTAATAAACTAATAAAGGAGATGCCAGTAATCTCTATTGCTTTTGTCCTGTGACTCAGGCGGCAGACACCTTGGCAGTGCGGCAGAAACGACGTATCTACGACATCACTAATGTGTTGGAGGGAATTGGACTAATAGAGAAGAAGTCCAAGAACAGTATCCAATGGAAGTAAGTCCACAGTTGAGTTTTTCACCAAAGGTGGAAAGACTCTCCCTCAGTACCACATTTGCTGTTTAAAAGGATTCTCTGTAGTTTGCTGTCATGAAAAGGCAAATGTTCATTTTAATTGTAATTTTAATTGTCATTGTACCCCCACACCTCGTGTCATGTACTAGTTAAATTCATGTTTTGGAGTTTTATGCTAACCTGAAATGGCCTTCATCACCAAAAAACTGATTGTGATAATGACAGGGCTGAAATATCCAAAACCATGCTACTAAAATATATATATGGTGCAAGCACTTGCATCAACGCCCCAACACCACTTTCACTGTCATGACACAGACATATTCTAGCTAAAGAGAAATGGCTGAGAAACGGATTCATCTGAGGATCACTGCACTCATTGTTGATGTCTTGTTATCCTTGTATGCACGTATGTTTGCTTGTGACATACATGCTCATGACTCTGTCTGTCGTAACAGTAGAGAAATGACGGTAATGCAGGAGAGCGTGAAGCCATATGAAACAAAATAGAATCTCATTCTGACATTTGCTCATTTAGGTTGTAGAACTGGCCACACACACAATGTGTGTTGTATTACTCACTTTCCTGTACTTATTTGACAAGCAACAAGTATTTGTCACAGTATAATCATTTCATAACGCCGCTCTAACAAAACGGCCACAAAAATAAAAGAACACCTCCTGGAAAACTTATGATATGATACTTATGAACACATATGAAAATGTCTAGATGGTGAATGCTGTGCATTTACATTGCAGCGTGTAAGTGTTCGGACAGTGACATCTATTGGCTCTAAACGACGTCTTAATGTTAAATGGCCTGTAATTTGCAGGTGTTTGCCACCACGTTAAATGACCTGTGGAGTAACTGTAACCATTTTATTCATAGTCCCCCAAATAGGCCTTTTCACAGTAGACAGTTTGATACATCATAGTAGGAAAAAAGTGTTCCACTAAGCCGTGCCCATGAGCCCGCATGCACAATCCTGAAACTAGAAATTGGACTGTACTGCTCACAATACTGTTTGGTGGTAAAGAAGCAGAAAACACAGTTTTTACTACCTAATTAATAAATGTAACACTAAAGTAAACATTACTTCATGCTGTGAGGTAATCACAACATCTGTCAAAAATGTTTTGTGTGTGTTCGTTCCCAGCTCTTAATACAAAGCAGACTGATCAGTATCCAAGACAAAATGATTGAGAATGAATCAGCAAATCAATAATAAATGCTCTCTATACATGACCATGTATATGTCTTTGTGTTTCAGGGGTGTGGGTCCAGGCTGTAACACCAGAGAGATAGCCGATAAGCTGATTGATTTGAAGGCAGAGCTAGATGACCTGGCTCTCAGAGAGCACGAGCTGGACCAGCAGAGAGTCTGGGTCCAACAGAGCATCAAGAATGTCACAGACGACTCGAACAACAGCCCATATCCTTCACTGACGGTCATGCAGACTGTTACTCAGCCTGTAAAAACAGTTGTATAATGACGTCTGTGGCTCTGGAGGGAGTCTAGGGAAAATAACCGTGATAATATCATTAGGGGCCCTCAGGGCATTTAACAGGTAGGGAGGGTCTTATGAAAGGTGCTATTTTTGAAGCTTTGCTCATTCAGACTAAAAGTCAGGATATCTCGGTCTATGGGAAATCTATGTCTCTTTGGAGTCCCCCTTTATGGAAGTGACTATGTTTCTGGAGTACCCTATTAATAAAGTATTCTTAAACTGCCATGTATTCGGTTAACCACCCAACATGGAGATGAAATGTGTAGCACCAGTGTGCAAAGATGCTTTGTTTGAATGTTTTCCCATTTAAGAGGAAAACATGAGTGTTTATTGGACCCTTAACACATTCATACTATGGCATACATAAAACATGAAGACCTCTGTGGAGCTTTCAAAGGTAATTATTTCAGATGCTAGATCGTTTTAGGTGTTCTTTTTCTGTCACATTCGCATTGAAAGTCTCAAACACTGTTCCCATCACCCATAACTTGCCTGTCCTCCTTTCTCAGGTGACACACTCCTAGCCATCCGTGCTCCCATTGGCACACAACTAGAGGTCCCCATACCAGAAGCTGTAAGTTATGTGAGTGGTTTATGTGTTTTGTATGCTCCCTACCTTTTGTCTCGTGTCTCAGACTGAGTGTATGTGTTCTTATCCAGGTCCTCAACGGACAGAGGAAATACCAGATCCGTCTCAAGAGTTCATCTGGTCCCATCGAGGTTTTGCTGGTCAATAAGGACCCATCCAGTGCCTCTCCTGTTGTTTTGCCTGTCCCTCCTCCAGATGACATCCTTCAAAATCTCCCAGTGCCGACACCTACCTCTCAGCCGCCCACTGCTGCCTCCCAGGTCCACACAGATATCAGCTTTCTCTGTGCTATTAGTTTTTCATGTATTGACTGGGTGTTCCCTCTTTTCAGTAAAGAGGATGAGACATTAATACTAAGATAGCAAAAGTTGTCACAGTTTTCTTTATTGATATGACAGTTGTGTTTTGAAATAGCTTAATCACTAAACACATCTAATTTTTTCACCGTACAAATCTTATTTTCTTTATCGTTCAAAGTCTTGACTTTCCTCGTTTTCTTTCCGCCCTCCAGGTCCCCAAAGCAGCTCTAGCAACTTCTACAAAACCTGGTTCTGTCACAACGTCAGCTTCAGCAGCTAACCAGACAGCCTCAGTGACAGGTAGGGATGTTTGAACTAAGAACAATTTCCTATGCTTTCAAAATACCTACATTTTGCCTTTTATTGTTGTATTTTACCCTGACCTTACCATTTGAGATGTTTTTGTAATTTAATAGCAAGAACATTATTTTATCTCACACATGTTTAATTTCAGAAATGACAAGCACCACGCCACTCACCCCAACAACAGATACACCTACAGCAGTCACTCAGCAACTACAGTCTTCTGCCTCGTTGGATGGATCAGCGTCTTCCTCTGCCTCTGCAGTATTTGAACCAATTAAGTCGGATCCCTCTGACTGTGAGTTTTGAACTCTTATGAGTCTCTCTCTCTCTGTGGGATGTATTGTCATTAGGATTACATCTCACATAATTGGACAGTTTCATTTTCCACAGATTATGTTAATTATGCTAATCATAATGAAACATTCATATAGGTGTACAGACATAGGTGTAGTGTAGTGACGATAGAGCTGAAATGTTTGCTGTGGTTTCCTTCTAGTGCTGGACTTTCCCAAAGAACTCTCTGACATGTTTGATCCAACAAAAGGTAAACTTATCTTGGGTATTCCAAAAATAGCGTGTTTGTTACTCCATAGGCTACACTGTAGTTACCGTATACTACTTTCTCAGTGTCCTACAGACAAAACATCTCTCACTTCTTTTCTCTATCACTGACAGAGATCATGAGCGGAGACCTGTTAGAGGACTTGATGTCATCAGAAGGTGAGTTTATGTGTATTGTGTACTCTTGAAAACAAACTCATTTTATGCATCCTGCATGTCTTATCTCTTTCTCTGTCTGTTTCACCTCCAGTGTTCTCGCCTCTCCTCCGTCTGTCCCCTCCACCCAGCGACCACGACTACATATACAACCTGGATGAGACAGAAGGCCTGTGTGACCTCTTTGACGTCCCCATTCTCAACCTCTGACCCCTGAAATTGTCGTCACTGTGGGATACACTTTCCCAAACACGCTAATCTACCTTAATTTTCTCCCAAGTCCCCCCCCTCCCCCCACTTGACAGTGAAGGTGAGAAGAGGTGCAAGAAAGCCAAACATGATCTGGTGAGCGTTAAAGGACACCTCTGCACTGAGTTCAAGCTGAGCTCAGTCAGACAGTAGCTCGATGTACAGCCTTGTGAAGAAATACAGGCGAGAGCAAAACATTTTACTTACTGCTTTTCCAAGGAAATATAGTCAAAACAAATGAAAAATAATTATATTTTTGGATTGTTATATATGATAAAGCGTTGTGTATCAGTTTTCCTGTGTGCTTGTGAGCGAACGCGTGTGGGCATACTTGAGTGTGCTTGTGTGTCTGCGTGTTTGCTTGAGTTTTGTATTGAGCCCTCTCTAAACATGAGTCCTACGTCTCCAGGGGGGGAAAAAGAGAAACCATTTTCGTATCAGGTAAAGAGTCATGGCAGACTTAACAGCCTTTATCACCCGGCAGCTGCTCATGCATGGCTTGAATGAGTCCAAACACAGCTGGTTGAATATGCACTGTCCTCATGTACATAAAGAATATATATTTTGTATTACCAGCACTCAAAACTATTGTGTAAAAACATTTGTAACACAAGCAGAGCAATAGTTTGCAAATGAACAAAGGTACCAGACACAAATAATCATACTGTATGTATGAAATGCTTTGTTTTAAATAATGGGAATTTGTCTTAATCAAATCTTTCAGTGTTAGAAGTGGTTTTGTGAAGCAGTTTAGAGAAAGAGGATCCTAATGTTGAGTTACTGGATCTAATAAACTGTTATATAAAGAGCCAAACACCAAAACAGTGTGTCGGGGAGGGAGTTAAATGGCGAAATTTTACATCAACACTTTTTAGGTCAGCAAGGTACTTTTTAAAATGTATACTCTAAGCACCGCTTTGTGGCTACCTTCTACTTGAACTGGTTCAATATCAGCACTTCTACACTGAGAGGTCTCATTGTAAAAAAAAATAAAATAACTGCTTTCAGTTTAATTTTGCCTCTGGACTTTTGGACCTTGCAGATTTTTATTGGCTCTGATTTATCTATAACTTAACTGGTGTATAACTGGTGTATGTCTGAGGAGTAGCTTCCCTCCCTCCCTCTTTAAAATGAGTTCTGTGATTGATTGTTTCTCAATTATGTATGCATATGAATACCATTGTACTCGGTTCATTTGTATGTAAAAGGACATGTATGTATTTCTGATGCATTTTGTATTGATGCGGTGAATATTGTCACCATGTCATGAGAAATGCTATGTTGTTTGATTGTTTCATGAAAAATGAAATGTTTTTGCTTCTATTTGTATATTTGGCACAGATCCCTATTCAATAGTTTTTTTCCCTCCAATGTTTGTTCTGTTTCTAGTAAATGAAATACTGCCTTTCACTAAATTAAAATTTTCAACTCTAATCATTCTCTCTGTGCAGGGGACAAGTGAGTAGCAGTTCAGGTTGAGTTGTTAATAGACTGTTAAAGTACATTTATTCATATTTCTACAGTGCTTTGTTCTTGTTTTTGTGTAATATCCTGTTTTGCCCTGGATGACGTGTATCTATGTATGTACAGTATGCACTGTGTATATCCCTCTCTACCGCTTGTATAGAATAGCGTTTATTTTTTATACCTGACAGATATATTATCACTGCTACTAATTTGGAGCTACACGTCATATTTTAAGGAAGTTATCCACAAAATCTTCGGCGTTATCAAAGCATCCTGTCTCATTGTTGCACTTTACATCACTGTGGACAGATTGGCTGCGACTCATCCACTCCTTGATCAGTAGCCGGGCATTGTGTTTGGACGGTGTTGTGAGTTTGCCTAATTCTTCAGTAGAGCGGCCAGGGAGTTCAACTGTACTGGGTTGAATGAATTGTCTGTGGGTGTGTCTGAGACGCAATCCTACAGGCTGTTAACAGGTTCACTATTGCTAAGCTGTAGTTGCATCAAATGAAACAAAATAAACAATTTGGTATACTTTGTGTATTGTCTGGTTTCCCTGGTTTCTAATTTAAATAACTGTCACATAGCTGGCGAGTCTCAAAGAGGGTTTCCTGTATGCTGTTACAGTAAGTTCAGTTGAGGAGAATCATGAAATCATGCTCAGATATGTTGAAGCTTGGGGTAGACATTATTTTTGAAGAAGTCATGAGCTTACATGCATTTTAAAGAGAATATAAGTGGACTATTGATTGAATTCATGGGTGTTTGCAGCTGAGGTCATATGCACTTTTCAAATAAACTTGAACAGCTATCAATATATAACCAAGTCATCTGTGGAGTAGGGCCTATGGTGTTAAAAGTCTTTAAAATGTTTAAAAAGTCTAACAACGTTGATATATATATTGCCATGATGTCACATTATAGATTATAAAATTATAGGTCTGTTGGGGTGTCCTGATGGACCATGTCATTTCAGCTTCTCCACTTTGACTCCAGCTCTGGACTCTTGCTGCATTCCCTATCTCTTCCTCCTCTCATTTCCTGTCAGCTCACTAGTGCTTTTAATAACTAAAAATGTACTATACAGAAGAGAGAAATTAAGTGCAGCAGTGTCAGTGTAGTAATGTAGTCCACGATTGTTCCAATAAGCGACACCCAGCTGCCCATTTGATTACAACAGGCCCGAATATAGAAAAAGACCTACTGACAGTAAATCTGCGTATAACGTTACAGTATGACAAAACTCTTGGAAACAACTGGGACGGACAGCAGAGGGCAGCTGTAACCAACTATACCCGACCCGGAACTTTCAATTATTGAAACTACATCTTGGAAGGAGGAAAAAAATGGTTTAGCTCAGCATAAGGAGCAACCGCACGTCCAGAAGTACTGTTCTTTCAAATTAAAAGCGCAAGTGCTGATTGGAAGTAACACGCTGAAAGATCTGAAGTTAAAATCTTACATACATACATATAAATGGGATTAAATGTAATGAAATAATTAGACGGTGACAGTTTCTGTCTCATGTAATATTTCCGTTAAAATCTACAGTCTATGGTTTTTAAATATATTCTATGGTTAAAACACACTGGGCAGGAATGGTTTTATTTCGAAAGGCAAAACCGGAACGCCGGTGTCAAAGTCTGGCTAACTTGACTCAAATCCACCCCTGGACCACTCCAACCAACCCGGAACTTTTAAGTGATCTAATAATTCCTGAAAACTTTGTAAGGAGTTTCCTCCTGGTTTTCTGAGCGGCTCAGATGTTTCTCTAAGAAAAGTCGCTTCTGCAGACTGAGTTCGGTCCTTCTGGGGGGAAAGAAAGACAGTTGCAAATGTTTCTCGCACCGACTGCGGTGGTTCCTGCAGGACAGTTGTAGCCGTCGACTTGTCTTTTCAAACCAGGTAAGTTAGGTCAGGAGAAAAGCTCTGCAGCTGACTCTCACACTTTCACAAACGTGTCCTGTATCTTTTCACAAAACTTTGGCAGTAGTCATGTCAGTTTTCAAAAAGTACTAACAGGTCAAGTGCTGTTTTAACGTTTTATTTGCATTCACGCGTTTACTTCTCACTACAGTTAGCTGAAACACTTATACAGAAGCACAGGACTTAACTACCTTACAGCGCTCAGCTACACTTAAGTTACAATTATTTGTTTTAAACTACTTAAAAAAGAACTAAGGCCATGCTATATTTATATTTTTCTTCTTATAAATAGAACTTCAGAATCCACTAAATCTCAGCAGAAGCCCAAAGTGAGCCTGTATTACTCCAGTCTGTCTCTTGTATTAATCCTGCATTTGAGATATACTCTGTGTGTGTGTGAGTGTGAGTGTGTGAGTGTGTGTGGGGTACCCTGTCAGGTTAGGAATTTCAGGCAGCTGAGAGCTTCCCCCTTCACACACACACACACACACACACACACTTCCACAGAGGGGAGGGGGGTCTGTCAGTCCAGGGGGTCTGAGACACACTGGTGACTCTGCAGGCTCACAAAAGGTCTGGGCGTGCTGGTGGTTTTAAGCTCAGGCACTGACAGCTGCTGAACATGGTGGACATTTTAATCTTTACAACTCTGTGAAGTCTGGGTATTTAAAATCAGTCCTCCACTTGTGTCTATACGTTGTGGTTTGCAAATGTCTGTGAAAGATGGTATTCTGCCATGGAGGGGAAACAATGAGTTTACTGTACAATATGACAGCTAAACATTTTATGCCTAGATGTATTTTCCCTGTACTGTAACTTCCCATTACGGTAATGACATATTAACACAGTAAAAATTTGTCATGTCTTTTAATAATTGTCGACTATGTGTGTCCTGATAATAATCTATGATTTTCCTTCAGATAAAACCTAATAAGGCTGCAACTAACAATTGTTTCAATACATTATGAATCTGACTTGATATATCGCTAGGTCTATAAAATGTCAGAAAGGTTGCCTGTCCAAGGTGATGCCTTCAAAATACATTGCTTTGTCCAAACCTGGCACTAAACCCAAAGAAATTCCATTTACTGTCATGGGAAACTGAAAATGTGCGAATAGTGTAACCAGTACATTTTTGCTTAAAAATCTTTCGAATTAAACCCAATTGACACATTAACTGGAAATTAATGTAACTGATATATCAATAGATTTATAAAATGCATTAATCATTATAATGAGTGTTAGCTAACTGCAATCATTGCATTGACAATAGTGTACCAAAACCTTCACTTCTGTTTAGAAGCAGACAGACATGTACACAAAGTGCAGTTTCGGCTTCCACTTTAACTTAATTTAGGGGACATCACAGACAGGCATAGACAGGCACAGAAACTGACAGCCTCACTCACTTCAGTGGTTAACCTCTGCAGAGAATGAGAAGAAAACCTCCACTCTCTCTTCTGCTGGGTTAAGAAAGGGAAACATTGAACAGCTTCAACATTGATTACAACATTTTTCCATTTTTGGAATACTCTAACTGGTTTCTAGCTACAAGGAACATGTAACCAGTGAAATTATCTCAGAACAAGCTTTTGAATGTTTAATTTGTCTTCTCATTTCCACTTCTTTCACCAGGTTGTCAGACCAGCAAGTAATTCGATTTAGAATAGTATGTGGTACATCTGATAAGGCAGAATACAGGTTACAACACTGACAAAGCTCGTTTTGTTGGACAGTCGAGGAAACATGCTGCTTCTTCTTGTAGTGAAGTTAGAATGTCACCCACTGTTAGACGAGGCCTGAAGCATGTACGGACAGGCCATGAATGTAGGCAGGTGGTGCTTTGTGGTCGGCACAGGGTTAACTCAGAGCGCTGGAAGATTTCTGGACTTAAATTAATGTTTTAACTCTCTGTCCTGTCCCATCTGACTTCTACTTAAAAAATGTTCTTTTCATCAAGTGTAACTGGCTGCATTTGTTGCATTTCTCTATGAGCCCTTTTCCCTGTTGTATGATCCAGTTCACCACTGAGTGTGAGCTCACTAGAGTATCTCTGCTGTGGACACACTCGCCTACAGTAAGTGCAGCAGCAGAATATCAATAGAAAAGTGATTAATATTAATTGTACTGTGATAGGAGAAAAGGAATTATCTAGAATTTGGATCACAGTAATATCGTGAAAAATATTTGCATCATTTTCTTTTCCGTAAGACAATTTTCTTAAACTTGACTGTAAGTAAATTCAAGAGTGAACGGCCTTTTAATGGTTGTTTCTCAAGATGTTCGGATAGCCATACACAAAAACTTGCATTATTCAGTTAGAAACATCAGGATGTTTTCATTAAATATTTATGACTAAATAAACAAAGTTTTTAAATTGCCAGGCATCTCGAGAACTGTTGTTAATAACTGTAAGAGTCAGAGTGAAATACTTGGGCGTTTCTTATAGGTCATTCCCAATTGGTAGAAAAATACAACATCATAAGATGCAGCTGTTAATACCTACCTTTCCTTTGATTTTTTTTGTAGTGCAACCAAAGCAATAATTTGGGTTTCAACTAATAGACTCATGGACTCGCTTTCACATTCATCATTATACAGCTCAGACAAATACTCAGCTTCAAACCCACAGGCAATCTTTGTTGTTACAAAGGCATGACATGCCAGTACCCGGAGTTTGCCCTTGAATTTGCTGACTCATAAGCTGGCCTAGAACAACCCTACATTCCCCCAAATCTCTTTAAGATTAAGGCCGCTAGTTCTTGATGTTATTTGTTGAAGCTGACCTTTTGCACCAGTACCAGCGTCATGATGTTCATCCTTGCCGTCTAGTCCATGTAAATGATTCAAAAACAAACTTGGTGTTATTGTATTTGTGTGTTCTTGTTAAAATCAGCAGGTCTCCAGCCTGAGTGTCCTTTTCATTCTTGCTTTGAAGGCAGTCTTTATCAGTGGAGTTGCTGCCTCAGGGCAGAGCGAGATGGGAGGACAGTAAAGGCATGTGGTTGTTTTGACAGGAGAATTGCTTTGAGATTTGCCATAAACTGTGAGAGCCTTCCTTTTTAGTCTGGAGTGAGTTATGTGAACTATCCTCGAGATAATCACCCCGAACACAGGCAGGCACAAGCTCGATCTCTTTTCTCTCATCGTGAGCTTGTGAATGTACAGAAGAATTTCGATCCAACCGTATTGTTTCCATGTGCTGAAAGCAAGGGGGAGATGTGGAAGGACAAGAAAGGGGGAAGGGTTGGAGGCACAACAACAGCTTCTTCTGTATCCTCTGGGAATGCTGTCTGAAGGCTGAGGAGGAAGTTTGTAGGATGTGTGTGTGAGTTGGAAAGGGGAGACGAAAGAGTGAACGATCCTGCATGAACAGACAGTTTAAGCCCTCTCAGCTTTACTCAGTGCGCCATAAATACACAATGAAACAGGAACACGGTGATCTACAACTTCATGTTGAAAATGATAGTTGCGTTGACCGCCATGAGTCATTTATGAGACTACCGGACTCGTCAGTTCACCTTACAGAGACACTGCTCTCGGGTTGGTTAGCTTTTCACTTTATCATGTTTTAAAATCACCAAATTATTATTCAGTTTGACACAACAGCAAAGCCCACTAGAAGTGTCTCTGTTGTCAAAATGGAAGTCTGTGAACTGAACAGAAGAACTGATTGTTCAGTTGTTGAAGTCAAGACTAGGCCTGCATTGTTGTTTATTTATAAAATGATCGATATTCTGTTCATCACAAGTTTAGAGGTCAGATTTTTAGTCCAGCCACATAAATTTCAGTGTGTAATTCAATCTTGGGATTTAAAGTCTCCAAACGAGCTCAGTCGTAGTTTACCTACAGTTTCCACATAGTTATCTTTGTTGAAACAGGACAGAAATGTTGTGTTTATTTGGTTTGTTTACTGGTATTCATTGGTGAGGTCCCCATTAAAGAGTTTCCCCCAGGTTCCAGGTAGTAAAGGTCATGACAAATTGATTACGGAATAAACTGCGTGTAACATGATGAGACTTTATTGTGACACTTTCATCGCTTTCATTATCAGCAGCTGGAGCTTGGTGGAGTCAAGAGGTGCCAACATGCCACAACAGAAGGACATAGTGAAGATAGCTATCCAGATGCCTGGGGCCTACCCCCAGCTCATACAACTGGACCAGGTAATGCACACACACAATTTCAAATATACTCTGTTTTAAACTCCAAATTCTGGTAAAGGTTGATGAACTATGTAATTTGTTATTCTGGTTGGTAATACTTGAGAGTATCATCTTAGTATCGTATATATGTGGAGTCTCTGGTGTCTGCCTGTTCTCAGACTTCTCTAGCTGGCTGTTTGCTCTGACAGCGAACCACCATGGGAATTTCTTTCCCTTAGTTGCGTCTTTTCAGGCAGCACTTCCTCTCACGCTGGTACATTTGCTCATCTTGGTAAATCCAAAGACCACAACAGCAGCCATATCCCTAACCTGATTTTTAGATACATATCTTGCTGTGAGTTTAATTGGTAGTGATACCAGGGCAGGAATGTTAGCTCATAAGTTCTGTCGTTTGAGACCTTCCCGGTGGCCGGTCAGACAAAAATCTGCAGCGGCACTATGGGCCACAACTCACAAAAAATGTTTTACCCATCCACAACAGAATCCAACTTGTTTTATGTATATGTATCTTAAAACTACCTGGTTTATTGAAGAACATCAGTGTACTACTACACAAGAGCCCTATTCACTGTCATGTCACTTAGAAACTTGAATAGCAGCATGATGTAGATATAGTAGATATAGATTCTGAGAAGACGATGATGCCAAGAATCACGCAAGTGTTGTGTTCTGTCAAGGGTTTATTTTTGTGTGAACTAGTTATATATTTGTTTGCTGATCAAATGTGCTGCTGCTCAGTATAACCATAACTACTTTATTGGAGGTGCTTGATAGAGGTGCTTCACAATCTGGGAAGCGGCGAGTAAGTAACTGAGAGACAAAATTCAGGACAAGAAGACATCTCAACTCTGTGAACCAATCAGACCAAAAGGATGTCTCTGGCTCTATCACCCCCCCCCCCCCCCCCCCCCCCCCGCAGTAGCACTGACTGCAAGTTGGGTAATACATTTCCTTGGGAATACATTGTGTACTGATTCATGTGGCTGGTGACAGTGATTTTTTTGCAGACACTGACATTTTTGACATACACACTTTGAAATTCTAACATATCCAAACACATAGATATGCACTCACATCTGAAAAGGTTCAGGTATTTTATTGGAAAAAATGGAGGCATCAACCCAATTTTAAAAAATGCTTGGTAGAATTGTTTTTTTGGACCTTTTGCTTAATTCTGAGATGTTTCTTTGATTGGAACAACAATAGAGACCAAATGCGTCTGTGGTTGATGGTGAGATAACAGTTGTTACACTGGTACAACACAGGAAGATAATGTGTTGTTATAAAACCTTTTTGTTGACTGTGTAGTGTGTGTGCCTACAGATCTCCACTTCCTTACCAGTAGGGTTTAATGCAGCAGCTGCAGCACGTGATGTTAAAAATAGCCTTACAATGTCGCTGCCAATATAATAAACGTCTCTTTGACTGGTAGTTACATAAATGTGTCAGCTTTTCAACATTTTCTTTTCATTCACTCTCCCTGATGCTTTTTACTGACCAACCTATGGAGCTTTAAAGTGTTCAATATTGAATCGACAAATAGGTGTTTTATATTGTGTAATAAGTATAAATGAAACAACATTTTGTGAAATTGCTATTTAATAATAACTGACCAGAGTTTTATGGGAGTTATCTTTATTTCAAAAGGCCTTTTCCCAGGGTCAATTGTTATTTCATAATGTTACTATGTAATGTTAATGTTTTCATGACAGTGGCTTTGTCAAGGTGCCCTCTGCCACTTAATCTAGCAAGTTCTACAACTGCTACCAGAATGAGCCACTTAGGTTCTGTTAAAAACTAATATCAATGTGCACATGCCTAGCTGGCTGGCTAACTAGCTAGCTAGGTGGTGTTGTGAGCGTGGTTTATTACTCAGTATCAAAGTGAAAGACGGCAGCAGCTAACTTTAGCTGGTTAATTCAGTTACCTCTGTAGCTTTGTGTTTCTAAAGATGTTCCTCAGAGAAAGACGCACAGCTCTGTGAAGACCAAAAGGACATGTAGTCTTTCTCTGTGGTGGCTCTAGTCAACAGGAGCTAGGTAACACTGCTAACATGTAATAATCAGTTATCTAAGTTCACAAGCTGACCTAGCTAGTTGGCAGCCTTGTTAAGCTAAGGCTAAACGCTGTTTTTAACAACTTTTTCATAATTTCACAAATTGTTGGTTCATTTATATGACACTATTTATTTATTTATTTAATTGTGTCTTATAACATTGAACACTTTGGGGAGCCATACTCACCCACTGGTTTTGTTTCTTCAGCTTTTACAAAATGTGATTGTGGGGAAGTTTTCCATGCGTTTCCCAGAAACTTTGGGGGAAGTTGTACTTCTTTGCGCAATACACCACACATGAATAGTTGTTTTTTTCCCAGACAGCAAGGGTGTGTGTCTCTCAGTCACGGTCAGTCAGAAGGTTTGAACTGAGGGAATTGATTTAACAGGTCCTTACTAGACGGTCTAGTCATTTCAAGAGTTGGAAAATGCAGCCCAACTGGAATGAACACAGTTTCACACACTTTTTCAAGCCCTGAAGAATACCTCAAAAACTTCTCATTGGCCCAGCCGTCTCCGCTAAACATATCTGATTGGTTGACCTTCTTTGCTGCCACTAATAACAGAGCAGCCACTGGGTCTACCGCAGTACCCGAAGACATTTTGATTGGTTGACCGCTGGGATAACCACTAATGGCAGGATAGCTGAGAATCCAGACATGGAAGTAGTCTGGCTTGTATTTACGTACAAAGAGGGATCTGGGCACTGAGGGGTAACATTGTTCAGAAAGCGTTGGGGAGCGCTTGGATTTTTTCTTCTCAGCAAACAAGGTTTGCAGCCAGCAAGAATAGCTGTGGTACCACAATCCCATAAGAGCATGACATTACTGAAGCGTGTGTTCAGCTCCCTGACAGAGAAAATACTTTGATGGTAGAGTCTGCAAAGTCTTGTTTTTATGACCCACATGTATGCAGCAGGTGTGTGTTTTTTATGTTGTGTAAATGTGCTTGACTACATGCTGTTTTGTTGTGTCTCTGTGCAGAAAAAGCCTCTGTCTGCTGTAATAAAGGAGGTTTGTGATGGGTAAGTTGATGACAGTGGTTTATATTTGTGTTGCTGCCTCTATGTTCTGTGTCTGTGGTAATGTTTGACATCATTATCATTCAACTGTATTAACCGTGATAGTTAATGTCAGTTTGCATGTGCATGTGTAGCTGGAATCTCCCAGGTCCTGACAACTACGCTCTGCAGTATGCTGATGGAGTGCAGATGTATATCACTGAATCGGTGAGTCACCTCTATGTAGAAATCCATACAAATAATTATCTACAGTCCTGGTAAATGTCTGAGCACATCTCAAAAGCATTGAACAACAGACCTGAGTCCGCCCTTCAGATGTTTAAGAGCAGAATGTTTTAAATCTCTTTTTTAAGACGTAAAAGCGCAGCAATGAATCAGTGAATCACAAGTTTGTCAACACTTTGTGACCTCTTACTGCTTTTGTTAGTGTTTTCCTTAAAAGTACATGAAATTACTCACACCATTCATTGTCATTAATGCTGTTGAAAATGAGGGTGAGACAGGCTGGGAAAGCAAAGGATGGGGAGTGAGAAAGAAAAATAGAAAAGCAGCTGGAACTACACTCAGCCTCTTGGTGTCAAGTGACCTTTTGAAAAGGTTGCCACTGAAGACCCTCCCCCTCTTTGGGCTGAAGGCACGGCTGCAGAAGCTATTACAGTGCCATCAGATATATGCAGAGAAAAATGTATTGAAGTAAACTGAAGTGAGATCATCATAAGTAAAGTGCTGCTGTTTAGAGTGTGAAACACACAGCAGGCTTCTACTTTTAGCACCCTTATAGTTGATACAAGATAACTAACTTTGAAGTTAGTGAGTTTGTAGTTAAACGCAGATGTTTCAGTTTAAGAGCAGGTTCTTGATGAGTCTGAGGAACACTTGGCTTAATTGCATGCAGTGTAATAATGAGATTATTTCCTGCTTTCAACAGCAGTCTGATTTCAGAAATTGGGGCAAGGGGAATTGCTTCAGCTAGAAGCCCTATGTACATTACTTTTCTGTTGCATTTCTTTTTCCCTGCAGCGACGTTCATCAGCATTGTACCTGTTAAATAAGCCCTAGAAGTGAGGCTGGAGTAGGATAAATGCTTTATTAGAAGGAATGCAGTATCAGCAGGTTGAGTCGAGTTTTCTTTGGCCAGGAGGTGCAGAGCTTGTTATCTTCCTGTTGAGTCCTTTAGATTGTAACATAGAGTCAGCCATTTAATATGAATGTATTTATGCCATCAAGCCCTGCTATCTCTCAGTGAGTTTGCGTTCTATGTTTCTGTGTTTCTCTCTTCGCTGTGGTTAGTTAGTTATTTGTATACATGTGTGTTTTACTTCCTCTAACTTGTGGTCTAAGTGTCACTGTATATGTCAGTGTGTTTTAGTAATTTAAAAAATATATATTTAAATACTTTTTCATGTGTGTCTTTTTTATTCGTGTGTTGTAGAATCGTCTGGACATTAAGAACGGCTGCATTCTTCGTCTGACCAAGGCACCGGTGAGTCTGCACCAGTCAGGCTGTCTCTTTCACCTCCCTCTTCTCATATTCCTCCAGCCCTCTGTCACTGGCTCGTCACTCTTTCATTTACAGTCTGGACGCAGCAGGTTTACAGAATTAGCACTGACCTGTCACTGCCATTTCAAGTAGCTGCGTTTCAAAGAAGAGCAAGAATATGAATAAAAAAATAGTTGGGGTGTGTGTGAGCATATTTGTGTTTCTTTTTTCATGTGTTTCATTGATGCTGGTGAACGCAGGGCCGCTGTGCAGAAGACTTGTACAAGGGCATCCAGAGCTCGGACTCAGGCGTGCGCTGTGATTCACTGAAGGAACTGGCGAGTGTTTCCACAGACGTGACCTTTGCCCAGGAATTCATCAGCCGAGACGGACACATCTTATTGGTCAAGATAGTGGAGGACTCTAATGAGTTAGTACTCCATGTGCCTGTGCACATTTTCCTTTGCTGACTCCTGAGACCCTTGATAGTTTAAATATTTATGCTTTAAAACGGTAACTGCATTACTAAAAAGGATTTTGTATGTGTGTGTGTGAGAATGAATGTCTATTGCTTAAATATTTCTTTCTATGTGTGTCTGCATCATTCAGGAGTAATGTGATCATGACCCACACACTGACGGGCTTCATGGAACTGATGGATCATGGGATAGTTTCATGGGAGAACCTCTCATCTGACTTCATCAAGAAGGTGCTGTATTTGCTGCTCTCATCTTTTTTTCATCGGCTGTAGCTGCTCTCTCTCTTAATGTTCCCACCTTCTTTCTCTCCTCCACTTCCTTCTTTCTCTGCTTTCAGATTGCCAGCTTCGTCAATGCCAAGCCGACCGATGCGTCAATACAGCAGGTGTCCTTGGACATCCTGGAGAGCATGGTGCTGAGCAGCCACAGTCTCTTCCTGCAGGTCAAACAGGAAGTCACTCTGGAGAGGCTCATCGCTCACCTCCAGGTGTAAGTAACAGATTGAAAGGCTCTTAGAACGCTTGCTTTATAAATGAATATATATTTATTCAAATGTGCTTTGTGTAGCATATTACTTTTTTAGACTTTAATTAATGTGAAAAAATGAGACATACACATTACATTGACCGAATATCTGCTGGGTTGCTTCAAGAGCAAAACACTTAGCTACTCATATTAGTGGAAGAAATCAAAGACAGAAGGAAACTAGTGTGCATTCAGTAGTGCAGATCTCTGCCAGGCATGTCCTGCTGAAGGTACCAGACCTAAGTAAACTCCTTTCTCCACTCTGACCTCTTTCAGGACGAACCAGCAGATCCAGACCAAAGCCATGGCACTCCTAATGGCACTACTACAAACAGCCGGGGACTCGGACAGACAGGTGCTGCCTGTCTGCTTCTTACATTTAAACGCACTTTCCATCACTTCCTCTTCTCATAGCTATTCTAGCTTCTAAGCATGCAGACCTCTAGTTTGTGAATGTCTGTTACTTTCAGACAGTGGTGCGTACAGCTGTAAATCAGTATGCACTGTGCGTACTGTAACTTAGCTGATGTTTTTCATTTTCAGCCATCTTAACTATTTACTGTGGTGCATTCATGCACTGATGGGAAGCTTTTGTATCCCAAGGCTGAGAGTGGCATGCATGTGACTTGGGACTGTAGGAGGTTATTTAGACTACAACGTCATTACTGTACACGTGAGTCAAAATCCTGCAGGCGCCACTTTTTACAGACAGCTGGAGACGACCCATCTATCTCATTCTGTCTGGTCATCTCAGCTTTTCCGCAGACAATCGAGGCTTTCTCTCCCTCTGTTCTGTTCTGTTCCTGCTCCTCTCTCATTGTACGGAAACAGTTCCTTCATTCAGCCATCCATCTCCTTTCTCTCAGACTCTTTGTTACTCTCACACACACGCTTCCTCATTTTTACAGTAGGTCAACAAATCCACCCTTCTTATCAGCATATTAGTCCTGAAGAAAACGAGGTTGGGTTAGAGATGCATGTACCAGCAAGTGATGACTTCCTTACAGAGGTCAAAGTCCTATAACTAACCATCGTCCCGCCCACTAATCAGTTACTGACGTTATATCGCCACCCCATGTTAGAAACATGTCATTGCACCCTAGTGACACATCTCCCTAATGCTCACTTTGTTCTCTTGTTCCTTGTCTTCTGTTTGTTTTCAGGAAATGTTTGCGTTCCTGAAAAAGAAGAATCTCCGTCAGTACATTTATAAAGTAAATTATCTCCTTTACATTCAAATTTCACACAGTTTTCTGTGATAATATGATGAAAGGAATGTAAATAAAGCAACACTCTAGGCTATTAAAGAGGATTGTTCATTTGTTGCAGAACATCATCCATAGTTCTGGTTCAGTCCAGGACGAGATGGCCCACTACCTCTATGTCCTACAGTCAGTTACTTTGAATCACCTGGAGCCTCGCATGAGGACGCCTCTGGACTGTTACAGCCAGGTAAGCTCTCACATGACGAGTCTAACTCGGAGTGAAAACATCTGCTGCTGATGATCAGCCTTCTAACTTGCTGTTAACACCCACACACAATTTTTTTTATCTGCTTCTTTGCCTCATCTCTCCAGGAGCAGAGAGACATCCTTCATAATTTGCGGCAGGCAGCGTTTGAGATGGAAAGCGAGAACAGTCTGAGCCACGAGAGGCGACGCTCGCTCTGCGCCAAAGAGTTCAAGAAGCTAGGCTTCTCTGTAAGTGACTGCTGGCCAGAGTTCTTCCACAATGTTTCTGTTCAGGAACATCGTTCTTATCGATACCACTAGTTTTCATCTTCATATTACTGTGATTAATATCGTCTTTGATCATTTCCTTTCAGAACAACAGTAACCCCGGTCAGGACTTGGTGCGAACGCCTCCTGGTCTTCTTGCTTTGGACACCATGTTTTATTTTGCCTCAAGCTATCCTGATGCCTACAGCAGGGTAAGCGTGATTTATCTGCTGTAATTCAACAACTTGAAGAGTTTGTCATTTACAACTATATTTATGGCACAAGAAAATGTTTCTCAAAACATTTTGTGAACATCTTAGCTAGCATCATGACGTCCTTGAGCAGTAAGTCATTAATCTGAGCTGTGCCTTATTTGAAATAACCGTGAAAGATGCATACAACCTTATCACAGTTATTATATTGTTGCTCAAACATGTTTCAGTTGTCTTAACATTTGTACTTCTTTTCATGCATTAACTGTTGTAAAGTTGCATATTGTCATGTGCTTTTTGTCTGTGTGAGCTCTATGTCACTTTGTGACCAACTCAAATTAAATTTTTTATGGTTACAATACACTGTTAAAATGTTTCCCTCTCCCAGTTTGTCCTGGAGAACAGTAGCAGGGAAGACAAACATGAGTGTCCATTTGCCAGGAGCAGCATCCAGCTCACACTCATCCTGTGCGAAATCCTTCGTATCGGAGAGCCCCGTAAGTTGACCTCCAACCTATTAGTGCCGTAACTTTGTCGGTGACTTCTAGTCAAACCAATGATAAAACTAATAATCTTGCATTGTTTTGCTTTTGTCCTCCATCTTCTCCATCCTTTCCTCTGTTAACAGCCTCAGAGACAAGATCTGACTACCACCCCATCTTCTTCAGTCAAGATCGCCTGATGGAGGAGCTTTTCTGTGTCTGCATTCAGCTGCTCAACAAGACCTGGAAGGAGATGAGAGCCACACAGGAGGACTTTGACAAGGTACAATAGCAAAGCATAATGATGCGTGGCTGTCTTCATAGGCCTAGCAAGAACTATTGTGCCATGCTGGAGGATTTTGACGAGGCAGGCTAGCTTCAAAATCATCCAGCCATGGACGCGGGAAGTAAAACTTATGACTTGATCCTTTTTTTTACCTGATTTATTATTATTTATTATTAGTATTTTTGGTAGGAAAGAGGTTTGACTTACTTTTTTTATCTGTTGTTTATCATTAATATGTAATAGGTGATAATACGGAAACAACCTAATTTCCAATCCTGATGAAGGCATGTTAAAAACAGCAAGTGCCCCACTTAATCAATGTAACCAAAGATATCAGGACCCATTATCAGACAGACCCAGAGAGTTCAAACTCTGTAAGTTATAATTCTATCACTGAAGTGTATTACTACACTGCAGACTTGAGTATCTGTTAACCGCTGTCACTCTGTTAACAGCAAACAGAGTGACAGCTGTCTCTTCTAATGAGCTGGTCCATTGCTGGGTGAAAGTGGGCATTAGTAGATCCGCTCGTCTCCTCTCTGCTCGTGAAATGTGCACGCCCAGGTCCTGTCTCACTCCCTCTTCCTCTCCTTTTTTCTCGTTTTTAATGTTTTCAGTTCCTGTGGCTTTGAAATGAATGCAAAAAACATTCATGTCACACACCCCGGCCAGGCGTTTCCCCCTCTTCACAGTCTTTGTGCTTAGCTAATCATCTCATGAAACTCTCAGTACAAAAGAAAATAAGCATATTTCCCAAACTAACAAAAGTATTTCTTGAAGGATTCCAAGTAATTGTAAGGTATTACAACACAGATTAAAATACCATAACCCCTATATATTTATAATAAAAACTGTATTAATATTTACTGTTTATGTTGACTGTTTTATTAATGTCTGCCCACAAAGATGGGAACAGTTCTTGCCTTGCTAAGGGATATTTTTATGCTCTACAGTCTCCACAGGCGCTGCACCAACAAATATCAGTTGAATCTGTCTGTCATTTTGTGTGTGTAAAAAGATGACACAGTGTATTTCAGGTCCCATCATGACCAGAGCAGGCCTGTTTACTGCAAATCTTGCTAACAAATCCTGTGACATGTCAGCTCTGCACTTCCCGTGGAGTACTTTTTTGTGGTACTCTGCCATTTGTTGGGACAGGCCCAACTACAAAATCCATTTCCATAAATGGTGACATAATGTTGAAATAGTTTCATTGCATGGTCACTGTATTGCTTTTCAAATGAACGATCATGAATTGTGTATAAAACTGAGCCACAGCAGCTCTGGGTGAAATTTCTCTCATCGTACGTGCATCTTTGCAGGCGTTGCATCATTTAACTTATGTTAATGAACTATGAATGTCTTCAAACTAATTAAAATTTAACAAAAGCTCCACCAGACACACAGAGTTGAGCTAAAATTAGAGCCTTTTCAAGGAGTTTTTTATGGTGTATTTGTGTAAGTTTCTACTTTTGTGACGTAGAGCTTCATTCTTATGCTAAGAGTCTGCGACCTGCCCCAACAGACAGTGTTGACCCTGCATTTATGAACATGCAGTGACTTTACAACCACAATGTAAAATTTGCACTATGGTTATATGTTGAGCCAAGCATTCAGCAGGGTCTAGTCTGGGAGAAATATTGAGAATATAGCCGTCCTGAAAAGGAGACACACAGAACTGTCGGTCATCAACAAAGTGCTCTCCTGATAGCCATGAAACTCAGCGACCTTTTTGACCTTTTAGGAGCGGGCCAGTGTCCTGAGCGCCAGGCCAGCAGACCGGCCTTTTGTTTTTCCCCATGGCCCCCTACCCAGGGTGCTTTGGGGCAAGGACAAAGGGGCATTAGGGTGGACAAAGAGAAGCGTGGTGGGCGGCAGAAACAGAGGGAGAAGGAAATGAGGAAAACAAAGCGCCCAGGGCATGAGCTGTAATTACACAACAACAGAGGGAACATAAAACCTCTGGAAACAATGCGAGTGGGAGAGAATGAGAGGGTTGAAGGGAACGGAGTGGAAGAGAAACCAAAGAAAAATATGGGAAATGCGATATCACAATTCTAGGTTTTGTTGTTTAGGGAATGAATTGGAAGTATTTGTATTTTTATTTGTACATGATTGTGCTCCACACACACACACACACACACACACACACACACACACACACACACACACACTCCATCCCGTGACATGTATTTGCGTAGCTTTATACACCCCCTGTATTAATGGTCATCCTCTGCAAACACAAATGCACACACAGACGCACACATTTGGCATGTGTGCACATGCTGCAGGGTTTTAGGGAACAGAGACCAGTCATCGCTGCTATTGGCCAGGTCAGCTAAATGACAGAGGGGCTGGAGGAGGTAGGAGGGGAGGGGTGGGGGCATGTGTGTGAGAGTATCAGGGTGTCTGTTTACAAAACACCCACAGCCGTGAACCTCTCCTGTCATGTAGGTGATCTCTATCTCTCTCCCTCCCTTTCACCACTTCTCATCCTCGTCACTTTTCTTTGATTGTTAACGACGGTTGGAATTCGAAGTTGGGATTGACATATTTATCAAAATAGTCCGCCCTGAAGGAAAAAAAAAATGGAGGTAAGGTTGTTGTTTGTTTGTTTTTTTCCAGCAATATCTTTATTGATTTAACATAGCACATACAGTAATATATGTATAGCAATTAAGGTTGTTTTGAGCATTGTTTCTTGGTTTGAAGTGTGCGCTAAGTGGTTTATTGTTGATTAGTTGCTGATTAGGTAATTGTTCCAGGTGTGTGCGTGTGTGTGCGTGCGTGCGTGTGTGTGTGTGTGTGTGTGTGTGTGTGTGTGTGATGACATAACAGTGTGAAGTGTCTGAGGCTCGTGTCATGTGAAAGCTGCTGGACAGTGAGGTTATTTTGGCTCAGGGGGCTTGAGCAGGGCGGGAGTGTGTCAAACTCTAGTGGCTTGTTTTGTGTCCCTGCGTGTTCACACAATCTAGAATGACAGTCTGGATGTCGCCGTCTGCACTTCCACCACTGCCAGATGGATAGACTCTGCTATTCTCTGTAGACGTAAACAGTTCTGTCACATTAAAAAAGGTTGTTGTCGGATAGTAACAAGCGCGATCAGGTTGTCATGGGATTGAGATTTCTGCTTTTGATTTCATGTATGTGAATTGCTTGTTAGCAGATACTTTGTTTTAGCAAACAGTTACTTGTATAACAGCACACAGCCGTGTGGACAGAGCTGCACTGAATGGGTCAAATTACACTTTACCCACTGATTGTTCACAATCAGTCAAACTGGGTGTGAACAGGAATGATGTAGGTCAGCAGAGTGTGGGTCAGAGAATCGAGGGCAGGACATGAAGTGCTGGAGCTGGCTTGGTCTTGTAGCACTATAGATTTTTGTATAGATTTTCCAGTATTTACAAATGAGGCGCGAATACTACAGGGAGCTATAGATTTTACACGCGTGCAAGTTTGACCCACTGCCCTGTGCTCCTGTTTCAGGGTAGCAGGGGCTCACCCTCTGTCCCTCTGTGTGAGCTTCACTTGAACAAGTCATGTAGAACACACACACACACACACACAATGCTGAGTCAGTGCTACAGCAGTTCAATCTGGAGGGACTTATTTGTTTTTATATTAAATGTATGTTCAACATTTTCACCCCTGGTTTTGCCAAAGTATAATGAACCTCATAACTGTTAAAGAACCTCCCACTTTGTTTGATGGTGCTGGCAGATGTGTTGATAATGAACACACTGATCAATGGCCGCCCCCTGTGTGGGTCAGAGAGGAGGGGATGTAGGTATCGGCTTATGCGATTGGACATTGTGAACCTGGAGGGAGTTTACTTCTTAACTTTACATTACATTTACTCATTTGGCAGACGCCTTTATCCAAAGCGACTTACATTTGAGGAACAACATACAATCATTAACAGAGGATAAAATACAGCACGACATCTACAATTGACAATACATATTAATAAAAGCAGCAATAAATACTAGTAAGCAGTAATGGCCAATATCACATCAATGGGGTAAATACCTAAGGAAAGAAGTTAACAAAAAGTGCAATCAATACAAGATAATTGTAGGGGATAGAAGAAGAAGAGCACAGGAAGTGCATGTTAGAGGTTAGGAGTTAGAGGTGTTATAAGAGGAAGTTTTCTCGGAAGAGATGAGTTTTCAAGAGCTTCTTGAAGTTAGAGAGGGACGCCCCTGCTCTGATGGCGTGTGGTAGCTCGTTACACCATCGTGGTGTCACAGATGAGAACAGCTGAGACTTGGATTGCTTTGTGTGAAGGGATGGCAGAGCCAGGCGGCGTTCGTTGGAGGAGCGTAGTGGCCGAGAAGGATCGTAAACTTGTATTATGGAGTTTAGGTAGATGGGTGCAGACACAGTAGTTACTCTGTAACTTTAAAGTGATAATAGAAGTAGGCGGGAAAATCTATGGATGGTTTGGGGGCAAGGGGTGTGGCTTAGAAGGATTAATGAATGAAAGAGTGGAGGGGAGGAAGTGAAGTATTCTTCCTGATTGAACAGTCGACTAGCTGCACTTATTATCTATCATTCCATGGACAAGTTCCAAGTTCTGCCCTACTAAAGTAAATGGAAGAATAAGTCGTCATGTGGGTTTTAAAGGTCAGCGGTAATGTTTAGGGGCTTTTATATTGTCAATCGAAAGGGTACTTGTGTACTTAAAGGTATACCACATATTTCCTGTATTTTTGTAATTTTGTTGGTGGGAGCTGAATTCCTGATCTGTCCTTGGTCACAGCTTGCTGTATGCTAGTGTGAACAAATCAGAGTTAACAGGCTTCTGATTTGCTGCCTGTAGCATGGCTCTACACAGAGCGGAAGTTAGCGTAAACTTCTGCAAATCTGAGCATGGAAGTTCATTCTTGGCCATAGAAACCACATGTGTGAAAACCAAAAATGTGAAACCAAAACACCTGTGAATGCTGATGATCGGGTCTCATGTTTTAAAGCTCCGAAATATCTAGTAGGCAGAGCTTTGAGTTTGAGTATTGTGCAGACTTGTCTGTGTTTTTCTCTGTTTCATTGATAAATTAAACTTTGATAGCACAAGAAAGCCACCCACAAAGAAAAGTACAAGACAGTAAAATTTTTGAAATAAGAGAAGAAGAAATTGAGAAATGATGGCCCTTCATACCCTCATCATCTGACTTTATACATTTACGCTTCTTTTTGCTGTATCTTACCACTAAAGGGGAAGTGTTAGTGGGGGTGAGCTGCTTGGGACACAGCCCAAATATGAAGAAGTCAGAAAAACTAAACTTAACATTGCTCATCCCTTCCAGCTAACACAGGAAGCAGTAGACCATTCCAGCTTATGTGGAACTGTACAGTATGTAACCTCACTCTGTCTCCATGTCTCCATCCCCAGGTGATGCAGGTGGTAAGGGAGCAGATCACCAGGACACTGTCCAGTAAGCCGACCTCCTTGGAGCTCTTCAAGAATAAAGTTAATGCTCTCAACTACAGCGAGATCCTCAAACTGCGGCAGACAGAGCGGCTTCACCAAGAAGAGACTCTTGCTCCACCCGTACTGTGAGTAGTAGGATATTTGATGATACCAGTCTTTGGTGCACCTTCTTGTCGCCTTGTTTGATTCCTTTGTTTCAGAAGATGCCCCGTTCACCGGCTGAAGACATAAAGTCTCATACCGAATCTTTAAAAATCAATGTTCAAATCAGTTTTGTAACTAATTGTTTTGCTGTTGAAACAATTCAAATTATGTTGAAAGCAAATACCAGCTGAACTGAGTAGTTAGGAAAAGTGAGTACACCCCTCACAAAAATATTTTATTATATCTTTTCTTGTGGCAACATTGAAAAAATGACACTTTGCTACAATGTAAAGTAGTGAGTGTACAGCTTTTAAATTTGCTGTCCCCTCAAAATAATACATCACACAGCCCTTAATGTCTAAACCACTGACAACAAAAGTGAGTACACCCCTAAGTGAAAAAGTCCAAATTGGACCCAATTAGCCATTTTCCCTCCCTGGTATCATGTGACTCGTTAGTGTTACAAGGTCTCAGGTCCCTCATACTGGTCACTGGAAGTTCAACATGGCACCTCATGGCAAAGAACTCTCTGAGGATCTGAAAAAAATAATGGTGTCTCGCCTCCCCTCGCAGACTGGGCTGCAGGGCAGTATTCCAACATGATAATGACCCCAAACACACCTCCAAGACGACCACTGCCTTGCTGAAGAAGCTGAGGGTAAAGGTGATGGATTGGCCAAGCAAGTCTCCAGACCTAAACCCTATTGAGCATCTGTGGGGCATCCTCAAACAGAAGGTAGAGGAGCGCAAGGTCTGTGGAAGAGTGGAAGAGGACTCCAGTGACAACGTGTGAAGCTCTGGTGAACTCCATGCCTAAGAGGGTTAAGGCAGTGCTGGAAAATAATGGTGGCCACACAAAATATTGACACCCATTTTGGACATGTTCACTTAGGGGTGTACTCACTTTTGTTGCCAGCGGTTTAGAGTGTGTTTAGAGTGTGTGATGTGTCATTTTGAGGGGACAGCAAATTTACACTGTTATACAAGCTGTACACTCACTACTTTACATTGAAGCCAAGTGTCATTTCTTCAGTCTTGTCACATGAAAAGAAATAATCATATATTTACTAAAATATATAAAAATTGTGAGATACTGCCTGTGGATGGTTTTGCTAATTTCAGTTTCTTGTAGCAGCTATATACGGCTCTCCATTGTGCTAGATAAAATTTATGTTTGTTTTTTTATGTATAAAAAGTAAAGCAATGCATTGTCTGTAGTGGGGATGTTGTTTTTAGCTCCCTCCATCCTATGTTAGCTCTCCTAGCAAAATGTTTGGGTCTACCGGTGCACTGCAGACACATTGCACAGTAGTAGTAGTTGAATTTGAATTGATACCAGATCCAACTATTTGAGTCAGTATCTGGCCAATATCCCATATCAGTATCGGATGAGTGCCATCCCTAGTCTGTAGCACAACCTGATCAGCTGCTCTATTGATGACTCAAGATAGTTTCCATCCCTGTGGAACCAGCTGACAGGTCAGCAGCCATAGTGTGTTTGTCACTAAACAGTGAATGCTGTGATATTCAGGGGTCGTCCATGCATCTTGGGTTTATTGTTGGTAAAGGTGTGCTGTCTGCGTTGTGAATCCCCGTTTGGTGGCAATAGCGCAGTAGAAAATAATTGCTACAGACCCGTATAAACTCAGTCATTTAGCTGATGCTTTAATCCAAAGAGACTTATAATTGCTATATATGACAAAGTATTATTATTATTAATATATTATGGTTTCCCATCAAATTAATGAGGGAAAAATTATTATTGTCCCGTCAATGGTGATGCGTTTATTTAGACTTTAATGTCTTGTGTCAGTTGTTCTTTGTCTTTGGTTTAGTTGTGAATTTGCAACCATGTCTGCAAACTGGAGCTCCTTTGCAACAAAGGGGATGCCAAGACCATGTGACGAAGCATTTTGAAGCATTCAGTTGAGTGTGTGTGTGTTTTTCTTTCCAGTGAGCTTAAAGAGCGCCTGAAGCCAGAGCTGCTTGAGTTGATCCGCCAGCAGAGACTCAACAGACTGTGTCAAGGAACAATGTTCAAGAAGATTAGCAGCCGACGCAGACAGGGTGAGAGGGCACGCACACATCCTTCAAAAAACACAGTAACACAGCTGTTCGGCTAACCTCTGATTGTCTGTTTTTATCAGATAAACTTTGGTACTGCCGCTTGTCGCCAAATCACAAAATGCTTCACTTCGGTGATGTGGAGGAAGACACGGAGAATCCACCAATTGAAACACTGCAAGAGAAGAGTGGGTTGAAGTTGGGCTGGGGCAGACGTATTCTGTATTTAAATGACATGACAAAAAATGTATAATGAAAATTAGTTGGAGTTTTTATTTTATTTGTATTAAATTAACTTGATCTTCTTTGTTCATTACTCTTTTTCTCTCTCCATTCTCTCCACTCTCCTTCAGTTCCAGTAGCAGATATTAAAGGCTTGCTGACGGGAAAAGACTGTCCTCACATGAAGGAGAACAAAGGCAAACAGAACAAGGTCAGCAGCGTTCCTTAGGCCTTTTTCATTTATAAGTTTGTTCCTCCCACTAGAGATGTAAGCAGAGGAGGAGAGAGGAGTCGAGGCAACAGGCGTTTAACGAAATTTGACATCCCTGTTTCAGAGCCGTCATTTTAAAGCAGCGTCAGTTAAATATGATGTGTAGCACAGCTACAGCACATCATCAGTCCATTGTTTTGATCCAGCCTGCCGCTATGATCTGTCAGATGATCAGACCAGCGGTCGGTACCAATACATAAAGGCTACAGATCACATCTTCGAAATCCAGAGACATGTCTGTTAACATAATGACATGTCACATTTTACAGTATCATGCACTACAAAGAGGGGGTCGGTTTACCAAAGCCCTCAGCTTGATGAGGGTGAACGTTTCATCATCCGTGCAGGAAATAGTACAGTAATGTTGATCTCAAACGTAGCCTACGGGCCCAAATGCAACTGTCATCACATGATTATACAGTGCAGATTAAATAATGTAAACTGCTGTCATATGTCAACATGAAATACAGCAAATTAGTGCTGAATGCAGAAGATTCTGTTATAATAATTTGACATTAGCAGCTGTTCGTCAGGTCATTATAGCAGTTGAATTGGTGTGATGCGCGGATCGGAATCTGAATCAGCATGTATGCATAAATTATCCATCGTCACTTAACCCAAAGTCATTATTTTCTCTCATTAAATGAACATGAAATTTCACTTCTAGCAGTCCCTGTGATTTCTTTATCGTGTTGGACTGATGCATGACAGTTTTCTGTAAAGGTTTACTTTAATGATTAGAGGCTGCTGTCAGTCATTTTAAACATAATGTCACAGCAAATATGGTGGGAGATTTAAGCAGCAAATGTAAAAAAAAAAAATAATAATTGTTATACACTTGACAGAACAGACAGAGGAAACTCTTCAGGAGAAACAGAATTCAAAGTTTAACTGAAATCCATGTTTAGACGCTCTAGTGGAGCTCAGGATTGATCAGGAGGATGGCTGCTTTATTCCAAACTGTTTTACTGTATGAACCTGGACTGTGTGTGAGTACTTTTGGATGTGTAGAAGAACACAGAGCATTCCTTAACATTTGATCTTGACTGTTGGCTCGTTGAGAGATTTTAATGATCACTTATATTATGCTGCTTTGCCTCGTGAGTCAATGCACACAGCATCTCTCTGAATGGGGAGACGCTACACCTTGTTTCACCTGCCCGCAATTAAATCACAATGTTCATATTTATGCCCTGGCCCGCATATCCCCCGTATCCTAAACCATATATTAAAAAATAAAAAAAGGCGGAGGTGAAATGTCATTAAGGAATGCGGTTAGAACAGCGTCTTACGAGGCACTACACAAACAGTGAAGGGCAGAATATTGGATTGCGCATTCGCTCATAGCTCCTCCAGCATGCGTCCTCTCTCTCTCCTCGAGATGCATTATAGGAGATCCATTTCCAGGTCACAGACGGGAGGAGTCACAAAATAGAGGATGAGAAAAGGCCCTTGTCTTTTCAGATTAAGCTCACGAACATGCCACATCTCACTGTGTTTTCTATATGTGCTTCAGGAGGTGCTGGACCTGGCATTTACCATCACATATGACGTAGAAGAGTACAGCCTGAACTTCATCGCCCCCTCCAGAACTGATGTGAGTGTTGCTCTGATCTTACTCGTCTTCCCCAGATTCCCAGAACATGTTCCTGTTCATCAGTTTCTTCTCCTCTGTGTGCATTATAATGTACAGTGAGAATATCACCAGTATACTCACCAGCTTCCTCTCTGTCAGTTCTGCCTGTGGACAGATGGACTAAGCGTTCTCCTCGGCCGGGAGATGAGTAGTGAATCAATGCGCGCTGAGCTGGAGATCCTCCTCTCTATGGAAATTAAACTCCGCCTCCTGGACCTTGAGAACGTTACCATCCCCGATAGTGCGCCAGCTGTCCCCAAACCACCAAGCAACTACAACTTCTGCTACGACTTCAGCCAGACTGAGCAGTAGTGTGTGTGCGCGTGCGTGCGTGTGTGTGTGTGTGTGTGCATTCACTGGAGTGCAACTACGACGTGTCAATGTGTAAATATATACTGTATGTGTGTGTATCTGAAATAAGAGGTGTGTGTGAGTGTATGGTGAGACCTGACCTGTGCATCCTTGCACTTATTCCTATAACACAGATTTATAACCTCGACATTAGATTCTTCTTCTGGGGCATGTTGTTGAGCAGGACAAAACCTGTGGAAAGAAACCTTGTCTTTAAACTACAATAGGGGGGTTGTGAACTGATATCAAATGGTTATTGACTGCACTAAATGCTGCACATTATCACTCCATAAATTGGGAGAGAAATGTTTTCAGTTCGTAGCTCTATTCATGATTCCTCGTCAGCTGTCAACTGCCAAAACAGCTCCAAAAACAACAGAAACTCAGAAAAATTTGATTCTTTTTACATAATACAGCCACACAAGTAATGGTACTTTTATTTTGTTTTGTAATCATTTTATATTTCTAAATATATCCAAAACTGTGTGATGCATGAAATATTGCGAGAGGTGGTTTATTACTGGTTGAGGCTGCAGATTGTTTTGATGCTTTGTCTTAAATCTTTTGCTCATTCTTGTATTTGCTTTTCTTATTTTGTTTTTCCAACATATGAAAGACAAATACAGTAGATTTTTAATGTTGGACAATATTTGCAAATATACCTAAAAGGTACTCGCCTTTGTATGGTTCCCAGTGGCTCAGTATGATTACTGTGGAGCAGAAATGCCCTGAAAGCTCTGTATTTTTATTTTTTTTTATTTTTAAAAGTGATTCGTTTTGCATTAGGTACCAAGCTGACTTTTTTTTTAACAGTAAGCAAGTGTACTTTTGCCATCATAAACAGTTATGACAATGAAAAATGGTTTTATATCAAATCTTTGATGCAGTCAGTAATCAAATCCTGAATGAATTTTAAAACTGATCAATTTCTTACAAGGAATTTATTGTACCAGGATGTGCTACGAGCACTCAGTGGTGTCACCCGAAGCATCTACTCGAGAACTGACACAGGTCTACATTATATCACAGTGTGTTTGAGTGTTTTCTGGGAATTGTGTAAAATCTTTAGAGCACAGTCACAAAAGTCCACTGCAGTGCATTCCTGACACACAGCCCTCTGTGATCTCTATCGCTTTGAATCATGTGCTTTGGGTGAATTCACATGAATAAATAGTTGATTTATACTGAGGAAAAAAAACAAACATGCGTGTGTTTTGCTCATAGCATAGTAGTCAAACTTTGGTTTATTTATAAAATCAACATCTTTTATCCTTTTAAATGTTATTTGTCCTTATAATGCTCCCTCTGTCATAGTGCATCATACAGTGTCCCAATAGTACAAATTTATTCAACAATATACCTTAAGTATAAAGGAATATTATTTCTTTAGCTAGGCTTCAGTGGTTGGCCAATACAACAAAAAGAGAAAAAGAAAAGTCAGTATCACACTACATTACAGACACTAGAGTAGTATCCAGTAATAACAGCCAACAGATTTTCATAGAAAAAAAAGTGACATGGTTTGTTTGCTATTGGTGGGATATTACTTTCAATAAATTCCTCAAAATTTGAGACTCAATTTTATTTCATGCTAATCCCATCTCTGGATAAAACTGGCAGTTTTCAAAAAAAATCCATAAATAATTCAAACCGTTCAGTGGAGGCAGGTGCACTGCTGACATGCTTTGACAGAAAAAAAGGCTATTATCTTCTAAAAGAGGCCATTCTAAATCAATAGCTTGCTGTCATTCACCTTCACTTCGGAGTGATTGGCCTTAACTTTGATTTAATAGTTGATGTTTAGGGAACTCTTTCAGGAAACTCTGAAGACCACTTATTCACTCATATCCCATCTTTACTTCTACTTTAGCAACACAGAACTGTCATTGTAAGAAAAAATATTTCTCCTATTATGTTTTTAAAAAAGCCCTTTCACCTAATCTGTACAGAAGAAGACAACTGAGCATTTAAATTAGGTCTTGCCTCCTTTTAGTACTCACAACACAATAGAAATGCATTGGAATATAACTAGTTATCTTTAGTTTCTTACAGCTGATATTTTCATGCGAGTCATGTTAGTTCAAAATTATTAAATAGAATAAAAGAAATAAAATAGTTAACTTTAAATGAACTTTCAATCTAGACGAGATGGTCTCTTATGGAACATTTTAGCCTGCAGGGCAGAATTTGTGTTTCCCCTTCTGGCAGTGAGAGTACAACTTTTTTACTAATCCTTCCTCTAAATGCAAAGTTTCTTTATCTGGAGTATCAGAAACATTTCTTAGATGCCTCTTAGATTTTTCCGACACAGCCTCTGTCATACTCCTAGATGCTGTAGTCTGCTCCGTCACTACAGTTGCTCCAGAGCCATGTAGAGAGAGAGTTGCTCACCTTTGTTCATTTAAATTCAAGTGACTTTATTGGCATAGCTGCAAACAATACAACACTGCCAAAGTACATTAAAACTATACAATCGTAATCAATACCCAATAATAAATGTTCTCTCCAGTGAGCCATTTTTTTCGTGATCATTTGTTCGTGATCACACAGTTCTCTACATGGCTGTGGGGTGGCCCTAGCAAGACCGGTCATTGCTGGGTGGCGTAAAACACATCGTCACCAGTGCAGCAGCACATGAACATCGCCACAGATTTCAAACTCCAGTAAACCGCAAATACAGAGAGATTTACCTGCCAGTGATGAGCTTAATCAGCATTGTGTGAACTTGTTTGGTACGTGCTTAAATGTAAAAGACCTCCATTCATACATGTACAAGTTCCGCACTCTAGCTTTAACTTAGATAAAAAGTACCTTGTTACAAGACGATAAAATATCACAAGCAAAATTGTTTGGGCCACATCTTCCTAGAAACAAATGTAGAAAGAGTTCACATTCTCATTATAGAGAATATTTTCTTCTTGCTTTGGTGGCTGTGTGTTTCAGTTTTCAGGATTTCTCTTTATTTTAACAGATATTTGAACGCAGACACAGCACCTTGAAATGTCTTATACTTCCCCGCCCTCAGTGATGATGCACCACATAAACATTACATGCAAACTTCTTCTACTTGGACTTAACGGATCTTTGAATGTGGTGGTTAGATACAGGGTTGTCTGCCCCAGCTGATTGTTTGAATCCAAGCATGAACAAACAAAGGAACTGTAGTATAGGTGACGGTATTTACAGTAGCTGTAGGAGGTGCTCTTCAACATTTCCTGTGCAAGTTGCTGAAATGTGCAAAAGCTTCACTCGTGGAGCGGGCTTTGGTCAGCGGTCATCCAGGACATTCAATCAGTCAGTCAGAAAGCAAGGGTAAGATCAGACCCACCTATGTATTTGCAGTGGACATTTTCCAGGAATGGCAGCTGTGACTGAAGGAGGTCCACTGTTGTTAAGGAGATGTTTTTGCACCGCGAGATGTCGAGTGTTCGCAGGCGCTTGCAGTGCTGCAGCAGGAGGAACAAGGATCTGAGGAGTCAAGAGATTAGGAATTCATCCTTTATCCTGGGCTACAGATACAGTAGGCGTGGGTTTTGCATGCCACTCACCTGTCAGTGATGTTAGTACAACAGGAGAGGTAGAAATGCTGCAGTCTGTGTAGGTACGGTGCAGCCTGTGCCACTCCATGGTCACTGATACCCGGGCAGTGGCTGAGTGCCAGACTGGTGAGGCTGCGGCAGTGCCAGGCGACCGACGCCAAGCTGGCATCAGTGATCTCCGGCAGCATGGAGAGAGACAGACGGTGGAGGTCTGGGTATCGCACCACCTTAGCAGAGGAGAGACAGGATTGACTCCTGATTTCAGTCTTCCTGCATTCCTGCTACAAACTGAAACATTTGCTTCTCCTCCGCCTCTCACCTGTGTGATGCTGCTGTCAGTGAGTTTGGGGCAGGCGGAGAGGTCCAACTCCTGCAGCCTGTTAAGAGCTAAAAGTGAAGCTCCAGCCTGCTGTTTGAACTGCTCCAGGTCATTCTGCGTCACCAGCTTGGGTCGCTCCTCAAATGGCAAACGAGGAGGCTTGAAGAAGCCCATGTTGCCGAATGTCCGGGTGAACCTGGGACCCTTGTCTCCCTGTTGAGACGAGTACATGAACACAACAGCTATATAAAATACAGATACTGCAACTTATAGAGTATAAGGAAAGATATTCCCTAATTTTCCTACACCCTCTCACCATTTCCTGGTCAGGCTCACATTTGGATGTTTCCACCATCCCCAGCAGACCCCAGTCTGTGACTTCTTTACACCAGCCGAGCCGCAGAACTACCAGCCTCTGCAGGTAGGTGGCTATAGCGCGCACAGACAAGTCAGTCACATTGACACATGACGTCAGGTCTAGCTCGCGGAGAGTTTCCCCAAGAAGCTGGGTAAGAGATAAAACTGCAAGATCCTGAAGAGAGAGGAGGAAGAAGATAGTTTTTGTCCCCCTCCCCATGTATTATTCACACAGACACGGTTGCAGGTTTAACACACATACTGTACAAACAAACCTACTGACCCTAATGTAGGTGCAGCTCTTGAGGCTGAGTGTTTCCAGCTGTGCTCTGGCAGCACTGGATCTAGTCAAGCCTTTCACCATCTCTGTTCCACTGACGTGCAGACACTCAGACAGATCCAGAGTCCTCAGGGAGGACACAGACAGAAGGTCAGCGAGGCCTGTGGATGACATGAAGTCATCACATTGAAGTGGAACACATTTTTTAGCAGACAGCAGGCTGGGGTGGTAAAAGTGCATGGGAAGATAATTCACAAAAACAAAAAAATTAAGTTAATGTGGGTTTAACTTTAATATTAAATTATAATTAGCAGTCATGATCAGGAATAAGAGATCTTAGCAAGTACGGGGCCTCCAGAGGATGAATCCTAATATGTTTGGTGACTCCCTGGCTTATGCTCTAGCATCAGCGTAAGGCCAAACATTTCATCTGAACACAAGGAATATTAAGGTCTAATGGGCAGAGTCCCTTTTCTGAACACATTCACGTTACCCAGAAGATGAACACTTTTCAATCTGGACATTAAGCTTTTTTTCAGTGCCACTTTGCATGACAATATTTCATAATACAACAAGTTTATTGCCGTGCCTTTTTGCTGAGCACATTCATGCTCCCAATAGGAAGTAGCATTTCATTTTTAATTTCCCCATAGCCCATTCCCCATTCGCTTGAGCTATCATCAGAACCTTTTAGTTTCTTTACATTTATTAATTCATTTAAGTCTATGATACACATAAAAACAAATACACTATGAGCACCTTTTTCAGTGATCCTCCAGTCGCAGGACAAGGAGAGGTGTGTCAGTGACTTCAAGCCCCGTGCTATGGCCTCTACAGACCTGTTGGTCAGCTCAGTGCAGGCACTGATGTCCACTCTCTGGAGACTCGGTTGGTGCTTCACCAGAACCTCCACCGAGTAGTCGGTCAGCTCCTTACAGCCGTGCAGACACAGTTCCTCTAAGACCAAATCTTGAACCTACAGGCAGAAAGAATATCAAGAAGAAAAAAAACACTGTGTGTCTTCTATGAGGACAAGCATTTGAATTTATCTTCAAAGAAGTTAAAGAACATGCTAAAATCATGAAAATATTCTAAATCATTTATGAAATCTTTACTAGTATAAAAGCAGACTGTTGTCTCTGCATAAACCAGTAAAGAGGTACCAAGATATGACTTGAGTAGTTTAATTTGTGAAGAACCATTCGTGGCTGCTCAAGCAATTAAGAAGCTGTTGTAAGGACTTAAGGTATCCCGACCTGTGCAATACTGCGTAGTGACTCAGGGGTGATGGAGGTTCTGCTGAGGTCCAGAGCAACAAGGGTGGATTTCTGCTCTGTTAACAACCTCCGCAAGTTCCTCAGTGACAGCAATGCAGACGAATCCTCAACTGCTCCCACCGGGCACCCTCGATACGGGTCAAACTCGAAAGCGATATGGCAGCCGGCCAGCGAGAGGCGGCGGAGGTGTGGGGTACAGCCAGTGAGCCGATTGAAGGTGAGGTCCGAGAGGTAGCGCAGGTCGGACAAGTCCAGCTCCTCCAGACCAGACAGGGCTGACCTTACCTGGAACAAGAAGATGGAGTTTGAACTGAAATTGGACCATAACTACAGGTGGAAAGACAATAAAACTGTGCAAACAAAATGACAATAAAAATGTACTGCAGGGAATGTGAATGGAAGGTTTTATTTACCTGCTATAATACTGAGGAGAACGCCCATCATTCACCCTTATGATTACATTTATAATCTCTGCCAACACCCTCTTCTCCCCTCTGGGAAGATACTAATCCTGGCTTAAGACAGAGCTATACAGGTAGAAATGTAGGAGAAAGCAGAATCCAGTACTGCTCTACAAAGACAGTAGCCAACTACTGAAAAAGGAGCAGTGTTTTGTGATTACATGAAACTTCAATTAATAGCCGAGGCTTTTATTTGCCTTAATCGCTTTCCTCACCCTGCCTATATCTGGGACAGGCCAGCAAAGATGGGAAACAGGCTACTAATAAAATTGTTTATTTCAACCAGTACTTGAAAAAAATATCAGATAAAAAATCAATTACGAATCATTTATATGATCTACCTCCGAGAGACCCATCTAGGCCAACCTCAGACAGACAGACGGACCGACAATCCATACGAGTTCTGTAAGAGCATCCTGTAGGTGCAGAGAAAGACACCAAATAACCTGTGCAGAGCAGAGCTCGGCCAATACCGCCTCCTACTAAAAATACAGAAAAGATCACTTAAATTTTACAATCACTTAAAATCAGTTAACCACCAGACATATCATCACAAAGCCCTAACATACCAGGAGCTGAAACCAGAGAAGAGTCCCCTCAGCCAGCTGGTCCTGAGGCTCTCTGCAGTAACAAGTCCCCAACAGCCTCAGGACAGCAACACCAACTCAAGCAGACCAAACCAAATTATCAGCAAGCAGAAAGAAAAATATATTGAATACTGGAAAGAAACGACCAAAACACAAAGTAAATTACAATGTTATCTGACCCTAAAAAGAGAATTCACACTGATTGACTGAACACACAATTACCTGAGTACAATAAAATGTCCCAAATTAAGAAAAATGTTGACAACATACAGACTGAGTGAACACAGCCTGGCCATAGAAAAGGGTCGCCACAGACAGAGCTGGCTACCACAAGAGGAGAAACTCTGCTCCCAGTGTGACAGGGGACAGGTAGAGACAGAGCTGCACTTTCTAACCTCATGCCCCAAATATAAAACACTAAGACAAAAACACTTTACAAACATTTCCTAAATATACCCCGAATTCGAATTCATATCTGACACACAAAAACTCCCCTATTTACTGGGAGAAATGCGAAATAATTTCTGCAAAATATGTCTCCTCATGCCATGAAGTGAGGACAACCAGTGGAACCTCAGACTAACAAATAATTGTACAGATTTTCAAATTATTATTATTTTGATCATTGATATTTTAGTAATTGATTTGTTTTTACATTTGATAGTGATTTCTTTGTAATCAATTAATTAAATGTAAATAATATATATATATATATATATTTATTTTTTTTAACACACAAACGCTTTGATTACTTTACACTACATTCATGCCAATAAATCTAATTGGGGGGGGGGGGGGGGGACCATACCAGTAAATTGATATGATCTGATATCAGATATGAATAATACTTTGGCACTCATTGTTTCCGTAAAATTAACTGAACGATTGTGTGTAACTATCCATATTGACAAAAGTTTAAACATATTTGTATGTGCAATATAAGCAGGTTCAAACTAGCTCAAGGGGGCGACCCAGGGGGCTTTCAGAGGTTTTATACTAGGGGTGGGGGTAAAAAATAGATACAGCATAGTATCGTGATATTTGCCATGGCAATACTGTATCGACGCCAAGTATCGATATTTTAGTATATAAATTGTAGATGGGAGTTTTAACTTTTTGGTACTAGAATAATAAAATCTATTGCTTTTTTATTCCACTAGAAAACTTAACAGGACCATATAGAAAAAGTGATATGAACAAACAGAGAAATGAATCTTTTAGATAAACAGATGTTGACAAAGTTTGACTTTAGGAACCTAATTGGAAGTTGGAAAAAGGTAATAAATTGCAATATATCTCAATATATTTAAAATCGCAACATAAATATCGTGATAATATCGTATCGTGGGGCCTTGGTGATTCCCACCCCTATTTTATACATCCAAAAATAAAAACCAGAACCAGGCTTCTAATTGAGACCTGTGTTTATTTCTCAAAATGTGTAGCCGCACCAGGACAGTAAAAGGGACAGGTGTCTAATTGGGACTAGGGTTTTAATTGAAGTTACTGCATTCTGCTAGTTCAAATGAATTAGATGTATAAATTACCTGTCTTGTTAAGTTAATTTTAGTTAGTAATTAGTTAACAAAATAGATTTAAATATATTTACAAGTAGCTTAACCACAACAAATGATATGAATTCAACTAGAGTTGTAGTGTATCTCTGCTCACCTAGTTACGTTAGCTTCAGCAGGAGCTGTTCTTTTTTCTTCATCAGGATAGAATTTAGCTTCTTCCTCATTTAGTTATGCAGAATATCAAACTGAGTTACCAAGATGCTGGTACATAAAGATGAATTATTTATAATAATAAATAATAGATGGGAGAAAATCTGTGTGAATCGTAGTTTTAGCTAAGGCTAGCTGTAGCAAGCTTTCAAACTAGCTCTCATTTGCTTTAGCTCTCTTCAACTAATAGTTGGTGTTTCTGTGACAGAAGGTGCAGTCAGTGAGACAACTGCTTCAACATAACACAGCCAGTGCAGGTAGTTATGCTAAATGCCATTTTTTAGAAACTGAAATTTATAAATGTTGTTTTTACAGAAAGGTATACATTTCTTTGACTGACACACACACACACACACACACACACACACACTGTTGTCTGTGCTCCTCCCTGGAGAGGAAAGCCCCAGACATGAAGAGGCTGTCCAGGCCCCTGAGGTCCAGCCTACGGAGGGAGGTGAGGCGAGGAAGGAGGGCCAGCAGTGAGGCCTCGGTTATACTGCTGCCAGGGAGTGCCAAACTCTCCAACTTAGAGCCCAAGCAAAGACCCACCTGAAGAGAAAGACAAAAAGAGATCGCATAGACAATCACACATGATGGGAGACAGAGAGAAAGAAGAAAGGATGCGAATTCAAAGAGAAGATAAAGAGACAGTGTTGAGTAAAGCAAATATGGAAGCTATGGGGTGGCAAGGTGGCAGGAGGACAGAGAGAACCATGCTGTTTAATACACTACCTGCTATCTCCATGCCATAACATGCTAAGTATATGTAAAAACTGGTACTGGACTTATACCTCTCCTTATCTTTCGGTTTAACAACTTGGTAGTACACAAAATCTTTAACGGGGAATTCAATGGTTGCAAGCACATACACACACATTATTGTAATAAGGGTCAGTGACAGTAAATTGAACTTAGGACAAAGGTGGCGTGTCGTAATTATGAATGCTACATCGTAGTCCGTATGATGGGAAATTCATATGATAAGAGTGATACCATGGAAATAATCAACACAACGCAGGTTTCAAAAAAAGTATTACTTTATGTCACATGTCTTGTTCCTGGCTTATACTACAATGTTAGCCTTTCAGGAGGAGACACTCCCTATCCTGTCCTACAGCAATCTGTTGCTCGGGGTGGGGGGCTTTTTTGAACGCACAAGGAAGTGTGTGAACGTTTTAACTGAAAACACAACACTAAATAAAACCGGTAAATTTACTTTTTGTTTTATTTTTAAACTGTCACATCTTATAAAAATCTGTCTAAATGTTCTTCCCCGTGTTTTTTTATACTTTTGGTCTTTCAAGATAAGTATCTCATAATACTGGTTGGTGAAATCTATGGGGTATTGTGAAGAGGAAGATGCGATACGCCAGACCCAACAATGCAGAAGAGCTGAAGGCCACTATCAGTCCAACCTGGGCTCTCATAACACCTGAGCAGTGCCACAGACTGATCGACTCCATGCCACGCCGCATTGCTGCAGTAATTCAGGCAAAAGGAGCCCCAACTACGTATGAGTGCTGTACATGCTCATACTTTTCATGTTCAGTTGGCCAACATTTCTAAAAAATCCTTTTTTGTATTGGTCTTAAGTAATATTCTAATTTTCAGAGATACTGATTTTGGGGTTTTCATTAGTTGTCAGTTTTAATCATCAAAATTAAAAGGAATGAACACTTGAAATATATCAGTCTGTGTGGAATGAATGTATGTATTATACAAGTTTCACTTTTTGAATGGAATTACTGAAATAAATAAACTTTTTGATGATATTCTAATTATATGACCAGCACCTGTACTATGTGTGATGGCCTTTTAATAACACAAGCACATCTAGAAAATATTCTGAGAGAAATGTATGACTTTAGCAATAGAAATAGTTCAGTTCCACTCATTCTTAAGTTGAAGCTTGGGTAATTAGAAAACTTTACATGAATCTCCATCATGATTAAAGCTGTTACACTCCCCACAGCCATCCAATCAATCCTAATCGTACAAGCCCTCATCTTCAGCTATAAAAAGACCTCAGAATCTCAAAATGCGGAACTACGCCCACTCGTGCTAACCCAAGAAGTGTGTAGGGTTTTTTTTAATCGTAATGGCATACTGCACCTCCAGAAGCAGAGATCTCGACATACTGAACCCATCGAGCTGGCTGATAATCAGACTGCAGTGTGACTTTCCGCCAAGACCTCTGATCAGCTCCAGGGATGAGGCTGAAGCTGGGAAGCAGAAAGTGACGTTTTTCTGTCCAGAGATACAGAAAGAGAGGTAATATGTTAACTTTGCCCTCAAGCATGCTCCATAAATACAGATATTTCTAATCAGTCAACACTATGGCGTCAACACACCATCTGAAGAAAGTATTATGCAAGTGTATAATCCATTGTGCAGCGCACCCCCGACTCAGGAAATTACCTGAAAGCGCAGGTCCTGACTGGCACTGTACCAGCTGCGACACACCATCGAGGCTTCCCTCCTGTCTGAAGCGTGAAGAAAGCTCAGGATGTAAACTATGATCTACAGCAAGAGACAGAAAGACAGCATTAGTTTGCTAAAGTTTACTGATCCTGGAAGAGAAGAATCCACCCCAGGGTTACCTGACAAATTACAGCATACTGTATGACTGAATAACATGTTGTCCTTTGACAACAACAGTATGTCAAGCCACGTGCTCATCCGCCAGGAGTGCACTGTGGCTCTACTGGCAGCTCCCATAACTTAGGTGAGTGACTCTATGAATATGGAGCAGGGTGTTTCTGTAAACAAGAACAGTCTGTAACGGTACTAGCTTTTTCTGACCTATACCTCCACAGGCAGCTCAGGTGCTTCCATGTCCTCATCCATCTCAGCTTCGTCTCCTTCGTTATTATAAAGGACAGCAGACCATCACAAGTGAATCAACTAGCCATTCAGTAGCTAGCTGCACAAGTTAAAAGGCTGCAGCGTTAACTTAACGTTACTTAACTAACGTTAGCGTTTAAGCTAATAGCAAATATCGTTAACTAATCACTAAAATGACCAATTTCAGATCAATGGAAACCAATGAAGAGTTATGCTGCCTGCTGTCATCGCACTAAGCTACTTTATACTGGACCGCAGGCTGTACATTTCCATCTGACTTCAGTTGGCTCAGCTGACCGCAGAGAAAACACGTGCGTCAGGAGGCAGGGCATTGTGGGAAATGAGGTTTTCCTGATGTTCCCTCGACCTGTAGCTGGACTGCTTTCCAAACAGCCACAAAAAGACGGTTGGTGCATTGACCTATTTTTCTCGTAATTATGAGATCTGGATCTCGTAATTAGAGATAACTGGAAAGGTGCCATTTATTACTGAGTTCGGTAAAGTTGGAAATATATTCACAGATTCGAGCTTCCGGGATCAGTAACTTGTAAGCAAAACGTGTTTAAATCACAACGACGCCTCTTTATTATCGTAGTTATGTAGACAACAAGCTACAAGTACATTTTCACATAAATGAGTCTTCCTAGGAGCGGCACAAATAACATTGGTCTCGACGTGCAGCAGACTGTGAGACGAGTGCGCAGGGACCGTCTACAAAGTGCAACACCGAAAACACATTCTGCAGAGATATTCTTCTAACTTCACACTTATACAATGTAGTGCCTCCAAAATCACCTTACACATTAATGATATACTGCTGGTTATACTACAACACTTAGTTCTGGGGGGGAAATACTTTTGCATACCTAATATTAGGTAGGCCTATTTTTAATATTTAATAACTACACTGTTAAAGGCTGTAGTGTCTCAAAAATTACCCCAGGTATCAGTGATCTCATGTTGTACTGTTTTTAGAAATATTGTTTTGCATAATTTTGGAAAAGATTTTCTCTTCAATTCACTTTTTCAGAGTTTTAGTGTCTCAAAAATCACCCCACAAATCATTGATATCCTGCTTGTGATACTTCAACACTTTATAGAAATATAGCTTAGCATAATTTTGGGGAATTTTTATTTTCAATACATTTACTGTAATAAGCTGTAGTGTCTGCAAAATCTGCCCAATCATCAATGGTCTCATGTTGAGAACAGGTGCCACCAATCAGGCAGACAGACAACTTCACCTGAAGGTCTGCCAAATAACGTCCCCCAATACTTTAAAGAACTCCACATCATGTCCGTTTGGTAACAATCTGGGAACATTAAAAGACAATGTCCTTGACACAAGCAGCGAAGTTCTCAAAATGTTCTGGGAAAGTAAAATGTCTAGCTGGGTAATTCAATTCAATTTTATTTATATAGCGCCAAATCACAACAACAGTTATCTCACAGCGCTTTTCATAAAAGAGCAGGTTTAGACTGCACTCTGTGATGTTATTTACAGAAACCCAACAATTCACACCAAGAGCAAGCACTAGGCGACAGAGGCAAGGAAAAACTTCCTTTTAAGAGGCAGAAACCTCGAGCAGAAACATGGCTCAGGGTGGGCAGCCATCTGCCTCGACCGGTTAGGGGTGAAGGAGAGAGAGAGAGAAGGGAGGCAGCCTACACAATATACACACAGAGGTACAGACATTAAAGGTAATGTTGCTATAGACTAAATGAAAAATAGTATAGATATTTATAGTAGTGTTAATGATTATAATAACAATAATAACAATAGGACTAGTAACAATAATTGTAGCAGAGGGTGTCAAGCAGGAACACGGAGGCAGCAGGTGACTCGCAACCACAGATCCAGACTCCACAGCTCCAGAGCCAGAAACACCTGCAGTAAGTGATAGGAGGAGAGATGAGAGGGAAGGAAAGGAGGAAAGGAAAGCACAAGACTACGGGAAAGGGAAGAAGTTCAGTTAGTAACATGCATTAATGGGATGAGGTTGCATACAGAGGGAGAGAAAGTAGAGGAGAGAGGAGCTCAGTGCATCATGGGAAATCCCCCGGCAGTCTAGGCCTATAGCAGCATAACTAAGGGATGGTTCAGGACTCACCTGAGCCAGCCCTAACTATAAACTTTATCAAAGAGAATGCAGAGAAGCTAAGACAGGAGAAATGTGATCTCTTTTCCTGGTTCCAGTCAGAACACGTGCTGCAGCATTCTGGATCAGCTGAAGAGTCTTAATGGACTTTTTCGAGCAGCCTGATAATAAGGAATTGCAGTAATCCAGCCTAGAAGTAACAAATGCATGGACTAGTTTTTCTGCATCATTTTTAGACAGGATGTTCTTGATTTTTGCAATATTACGTAGGTGAAAAAAGGCGTTCCTTGAAATTTGCTTAATGTGAGACTACATGTCCGACATGTCCTGATCAAAGATAACTCCAAGATTCCTCACAGTGGTGCTGGAGGCCAGGGCGATGCCATCAAGGGAAACTATATCTTTAGATAATGCGTCATGGAAGTGCTTGGGCCCCAGAACAATAACTTCAGTTTTATCTGAGTTTAACATTAGAAAATTACAGGTCATCCCGGTTTTAACATCCTGAAGGCACATTTGAAGTTTAGCTAACTGATGAGTTTCATCTGGCTTGATCGATAGATATAACTGAGTATCATCTGCATGACAATGAAAGTTCATGGAGTATTTCCACTCTGTACTCTGTATAACAGTGAGGTTATTTTATATTAAAATCCCCCAAAATTACCTCAAAGCAAATTTTTTCAAACTAAGTGTTGCAGTAGAAGACCACTGATGATTGAAGTGATTTTGGAGACACTACAGCTTGTAACATGATATTTACAACCGGCATCTCCTCATCCCCTTTTCTCCCCAACCACACTAATAATTGGTGACTCCATAACCAGAAACATTTAACACTACCACTCACTGCTTCCCCGGTGCCACCATGGCTGACATTTTAAAAAAACTCCAGGACCTAATGCCATCGCTCCGTTTTTATCTCTGGTCCCATTTCCACAGTTGGTCGCGGTGCTGGCCGCTTCAGTAGACTCCTTGGCCTCCACAACTGGCTCCAGTCCGCCTGCAGGGCTCACGGTGTGTATTATGTGGATAATTTTAATATTTTCTGGCAAAGAATGTCTCTTTTTAAGACAGACGGACTTCACCCAAACAAACAGGGCTCAGAAATGTTAGCTGCTCACATACAGCATGTGGTGCGGTCCACACATGACTTACGTGAAGACTAATCATTCATGCAGCACACCTGGACACACCACCGGTCACTGAACAGATCTCTGCCTCACTGCCACTAACAATTGTCTCCACCTGCTGGTATGTAAAGCCGTCTGCTCCCAGCGCTGTTCCAAAGACTTCTATTCCTGTCATCATCACGCATAGACCAGTAAACCGAAATGTGCACATCCCACACAGAAATATTAGTAATCTCTTAAGGATTAGGACAACTGCACCAACTCCAGCACCCAGAACAAACTCATTTAAAATGGCTCTCTTCAATGTGAGATCTGTCAAGTAAGACTTTTATCTTAAATGATTTTATCTTGTCTGCAAATCTAGATTTTATGTTTTTAACTGAATCCTGGTTGCAAATGAATGACTATAGCCAGCTAGCTGAACTGTGTCCGCCTCAATATGATGTTTTAGTCAACTGAGGGTCAGTGGTCGTGGTGGTGGGCTAGTGAGCGTGTATAGGAAAAAATCATCAAGTACGCTGTGATGAATTTAACTCCTTTGAAGTTCTCACTCTTAAACTTGGAGGGCATCATATCATCATATTTGTTATAATTTATCGCCCCCCAAAACCGCCTGGAGGATTTTTATCAGAACTTTTTATCTACTCTGGTTTTAAATTATGACAGAATTGTTCTTTGTGGCGATTTTAATATTCATGTTGATGACCCCAACAATGTTAATGTAACTGACTTTTTAAATATGGCCACTTCTTTTAACTTCAAACAACATGTCAAAGGGCAAACACATAACCGTGGTCATACACTGGACTTGGTTTTTACCCTGGGTGTCAGCATTTCCTCTGTGGAATTAGTGGACATGACCATATCTGACCACAAATGTATTGTTTTTAGCTGCGATTCGCCTGTTACTCATGCCACCTCACCAAGCTCCGTGTGTTCTTGCATCTTTAATGAACAAAGTGTTTCAAAGTTTTGCACATTCTTTCAGAGCCAAAGCCAACACCTGTCTGATTCCAACACCAACAATCTGGTCGATCACTTCAATCATATCTGCTTGTCGTCACTAAATATTACTGCTCCTCTAAAGGTTAGGCCTACGTCTAAAGCTAGTAAGCAACCCTGGATAAATTACAGCATTTTCAGCCTAAAAAGGGAATGCAGGAAAGCAGAGCGCAGATGGAAAAAATCCAGTCTCCAAGTCCATTACCTCAGTCTGAAGGATTTATTAATTAACTACAATAACATGGTTAAGGATGCGAGAACACACTGTTTTTCTGAACTCATTACTACACATAAACACAATCCCAGGTTTCTGTTTAAGACTGTGGATCAGCTGGTAAACCCAACCCCTCCTTGTGCCTCAGCTGGAAGTAATGATGACTGTGAATTGTTTTTATCTTATTTTACCAATAAGGTGGTGTCAATCAGAGCCTCTATTACCCCCACAGCCTCTTACTACTTACCAGCAACAAGACAGTTTTAAACAGTTTTATCCCATCGACTTGTCTGAGCTTTTAAAAACAGTATCACAAATGAGAGTCCTCCAGCCCACTTGATGTAATACCTACAAAGTTTTTACTGAAAGTAATAGATTCTGTTGGGCCCCATTTGATCTCTGTTTCAACAGCTCCCTATCTACTGGTTGTGTCCCTGATTATTTTAAAACGGCTTGCGTGAACCCACTTTTAAAGAAACCTGGTTTAGATCCCTCCCTCCATCAAAATTTTAGACCAATTTCAAAACTGCCTTTTATTGCAAAGATTCTAGAAAGAATTGTGTCCAAACAGCTGCTCACTGTACTGGAAAATAACAAATTATTTGAAAAGTTTCAGTCTGGTTTCAGGAAGTACCACAGCACTGAGACTGCCCTGCTTAAAGTCACCAATGACCTTTTAATGTCTGCTGATGAAGGCATGTGCTCAGTCCTGGTACTCCTGGACCTTAGCGCTGCTTTTGACACCATTGATCACAACATCATGTTAGACAGACTGAGGCACTGGGTGGGGATCTCTGGTACTGCCCTAGAATGGTTTTCATCCTACCTGT